ATAAGTATGTATTGCCGTTGTTACCCATACCTATTCATGTGAATAATTTTAAAAGGGGGGATGTGAAAAACACAATATAAATGTTGTAATTGAGAGATTTTTGTTTTTTAATTTGATAAAAAAAGTCAAAGCTGTTATTTTTATATTTTTACATATTATAATATAATTAAATATTATTAAATACATACGTAGATAGTAACATAACGCAATATAATTGGACGATTTAAGGGTGAAGTTGTGAATTGTTCTTCTTTCAACGAGACCCATCAACTGTTAGGAGACGTTTATAAGTCCTATAATGTCTACTAACATTTTCGAGAAAATATAAGGTCGTCTTATTGGTTAAGTCGACCTCATTATATACCGTTGAACTATAGATAGAAAATTGTTTTGGCTAATAGAAATAATTATTGTTTACAAGTCGACCGTTTTTTTTAAAATTTGTTAGTTTCATTTGCGATTTTTCCGACTGACACTTGACTTCACTCGCGCGCCAAGTTCAATTGACTTCAAACCGTTACAAATATTTTCCTTTTGTTGCATAGTTATAGTTTTATAATTTTGTTAAGTTGTTACTAGACGATGTACGGGCAACTTCAGGTGGAAATGGTGACCCAAGAGTATTTCGACTCGGTGGAAGACCTGTGCCATCGCTTGTGGGTCCTAGGCGACCTAGAACAAGCGAGACACATAAGCCAAGACGTTGCAAGCAAAGTGGAGACGATGAAATTGCAGCTACGGGCCAACCTAGTTATGATTTGCAATGAAGCTGTCGAAATGCTCGATCGGCGTCAACAAGATACCATGGATGTTCGTCATCACGTGTTCTGTAACAGAAGCAAAGCAGCATTTTACGGGTAAGTCAGTGGCATCCCCTACGACAAAGGACGGGGTAGGTTCGTACCTTAGTGTCCCGACACTTAGAGTGTCGTTGAACTATCGTGTTGGCCTTTTCGATAGATGCGTCTGGAAGATGGTGGGATACGAAGACGCTTTGAGGTTTTCCGACAAATGTTACTACGAAGGCATGTCTCAGTGCCAGTTTAACTTTGAACCGACCGATCCGGATCTGCTGCGAGTGGCGCTAGACTACTCGGCGCTGTTGAGAAGCGCCAACCGTGCGGAAGAAGCGAATTTGATATTAAAGAAAACGATTTCAGACGCCAAAGCCAGCGTGGTGGTGGAAGGGGTCAACGCCAAGACCAATTCCTCGTACGATTCGCTCATGAACGGCTTAGAAGACATGGTAACTTTGTGCCGGACATGAGAGGGTCGCGGTCGAGATTACACATAGGTAACTTGTATTTACTTATGTGTATGGCCTTTTGCTTTGAGAGCTAACACACAGGGTAACATGTCTTGTCGGACGCCACAGGCGAGGGTAGTTCCCTGCACTTTCCATTCTAAATCGAGAAAAACACCGAAGGGAGGTTAGCAGAGGGACGAATATGTGGATAGGTAGAGACTAGATTTTCAGATGGTTATTTTCAACTTAAGATGATGCCATACATCATTTTTTTTAAATTCAAAGTTGCACTAACTTTATCGAGGAAACCCCAAAAAATCAAACAACCAATGAAATAAGTCCAAGACTAAATTGGCGATTGCATAAATTTTTATGACTGTTTATTTTGTTATTTCTTAACAGAAGCCGTGCAATATATTGGACGAAACCGACGATGAACTGTTTTTTGAATTGCATAAGTGACTTGAGAAATATAAATAAAATGTACACATTTTTATACTACCATACATTGGCGTTTGAACAAAGTGTTCATTATTATTATTACTATTTTGATCGTCTGAGAGTCATAACCAACCCCTCCCATGTGTAAAAGAGGTAAACATATAACACAGTCATATGTTATTAATACTACTACAAAAACTTGTGCATTATTTTTTCTTAAAAATGCATTTATTATTGATAAATTATCAACTGCAGACTAGAAGGCCGGAATAAAAGAGGTAACAAAATTTAAAAACTGAACAAACGCAGAATCACACTATTTGGCATTAAATGCATATTGGACTGTATTTAAAAGAAAAACAGGTTTGCCTACCCCAACCCCCTAATTGATGGTAGCCTATTGAAAGTAATTATTTAAGTAAGAAATCTCGAACATTTCAGATCTTTAGCTTAACTTTAAGTACTTCCTCATGTGTGTTTTTTTTTTGGCATTTTATTAGCATAGAAAATGTTGCGATTAATAATATCTGTGTATTACATTTCAAAAACTCGTTACCATATTGTTAGCCTAAGGCCTATACAACAAAAAATAATATGTATGTTTTCTAAAATCGTGTATAAACCTGTAGTCTCCAAACAACAAAGCGTCTGACGTAATAAAATAAAAATGCCATATCTTGAAAAGGTTACCAGGGTCATAAATTATACACAATATTTAAATCTCCTTAGCATATCTGTAAAACTATTGCCAAAAATATACTGAATTGACTGGCCGACGACCTTACCAATAGTCAGGATTTAACTTGTTCTGACTTAGGCCACCAGCTATATTCCTTAATGCGCAATCAAAGGTAAGGTGTACCAAATATTTTCGGCTAAAATACTGTTGGTTAAAATATTTTCGGCTTTTTTATACTCGAACGTTTAACTTTCTCCGCTTCAACTGAGATTTTTAATTTTAACTAGGATCTTAGGATCTTATTCAGGAGCTAGGATCTTATTTCTTATATAATAATCTTATATAATTAATCTTATATAATGTACTTCGTATATACATGGTTTTATTGCGATTATCGGAGAATACTATAAATTAATGACGTTTATATTATTCCACCATATAGACAAATGAGTAATGTCAAATTTCAAAATACTAAAATATAGGTATTATTATCGATTGAAGTACCGCTGGTTAAAATCAAACAACTGAATAATTAATGATATATATATATATATATATATATATATATATATATGTATACTTAAACAGTTCTCAAGAGATTAACTTTCTAGAAGAGCTGAGCAGTTTTAGCGTGCAAGTACATATATATACATTTAAAGATCGTTGTTCAAGAGCGTCATTATGCAATCGATAACCAATTTGTACTTAAAAAAAATATATTATTTGTTCTTCTATAAATGCATTACAAACCAACCTAAATTATTAAAATATTTATCGTAGAAATTATAATGTATGTTGTATTTTTAATTATGGAAAGTGGAAACAGTAATATTGGTTTCTAAATGTACAATAATATAATAATGTAATACTATGTATATTATATACATAATGTAACATTAATATAATAATGTTAATATTATTAAAATTATCTGTTTTGATAAAAAAAAAAATAAACCAAATATTTATAATCCTAACCAGTATTAAAATTATAGGCTAAACTGTACTTAAATGTTCCCAAACTACTATAGACGGCCGTTAATGTTATTTCCTAAGTACTAAAAATATAATAATTATTTATGAATGATTTTAAAAATCTCAAATATATATTATGCTTAAAATTTGTTTGCTCTAACATCGACAGAATATTTAAATAATAATTACACTATCTAATCACTTAATGGGATAAAGCTACATTTTAATGTTGTTAATTATGTTAATTGTCTTTTTTCTATCTTGAAGGCCCCGATGATGTTGTGAGCCCTGAGTGAGCGGGCCATGGTCCTTTCTGGTGTCCCTTAATCCATTACGTTGCTATATAGTGCCTAGTAAACATTCATTTATTTTTACAAACTTTGAAGCCAAAAGTTAATACAAATACGAAATAAAAATTTTAATAATATCTGAGACGATTCTACAAAAAATGTTTAGAGAGGTGTTAAACAAATGTTTGATATACAACATTGATGTAGAAGATGAAAGCAACAAGAAATAATTGTATGGTTTGTATCACCTTTGATAAACAAAAACAGATCTCCAAAAGTCAAGAAATTTAACAGCATAATATAAATGTTTTTAATTTACAACTTAATAATATGATAAGATAAAATTAAAGTAATATTTAGTTTTTTTAAATACCTCTGTGTTTTAATGAATATGCATATAAAAAATGTCATTAAAAAAGGTATAATCTATACTCTATACAGACATACAGTTGATTTAAAATTGAAACACTGGTTCAATATTGTTACTTTTTTATAATACCAATGTGTTTTCACATATTAATCGTAATTAAAAACCAACTTTTATAATGTTACAATTATTTTATAATATTTTAAGTAACTCTAAAACCTAAAAATAATTGTTTATAATACCAGTCACAACGAACTAACAATAATATATTCGAAAATCTATCTGAAACCCTTGGGCCTCAATTTAAAGTAATCACCTACCTTCTAAATTATATTATATTACAATCAGATTTATATAATTATTTATTAAAAAAATAGTTTATAAAATTCTTATCTTTTTTGTCTAACTTTTCTATTTTAAATGTATAGTCTACTGTATTCAATTATGTATATCAACTATTTTAATAAAACCCTTATAATGGCCTTTGTTGCCAAAGGGTTTTACTCAATAATTAAAAAAAATATTGTATATTAAAATGTGCAATTGATAATAAAGAATATACTTTAAAACGTAATTAATGAATGTAATATAATGTAGTATAACATATTAAATTCATTATGCCCAGTGGTCAAGTATTCTTATCATGTATAGTCGAAGTAAAATACTTTCGTGGTATCACAATATCGGGTTAACTGTTGTATGATTAATTTAATTACTTTACGATGTAGGAGTATGTTAAATTCGGGCTAACCGTCTAATCGTAGTAATTGTATATTCGAAGTAGATTATATTCGTGGCAAATGACTGATAAAGCAACGTCGGAGTAACTACAAGTCGTGGCATGCAACATTCGCTGTAACTGTAGCACCCGCGACATCTAGCGACCGGTAATAAAACGTTGGTCTCATATCACACATACCACGGATACCACTAACGCGGTTAACGATAACCTTAATTTTATCAAAAATACGTTCCTACCATGTATTTATTCAAATCAAAACATAATATTATTTCCAATTTTTCAGAATGTTATAATTTTGTTTTTCAATTTTCTGAAAATGATTTATCATTTATCGACTTAACTGTTATGTTATTCCTTCTAAACGAAAAATGTTCGAACCCACGTAAACGATATTTTCTCTGGACAATTAGTTTTTCAATAACTATGCTAACGCTTGGTAGTTGAATTACTAAATTCACATAACTTACTTAGTATTTTTGTTTGTACCTAGTTTAATTGTACATCCTGTTGAAACGATGAATAACAATACGAAAAATGCCAATTCTTTTGATGGCCCATTTAATTTTAAAGGTGAGTACTCAGCTATGGACAAATTTTAAATAATAAACTAATTTTTTTTTCATTAATTTTTAGGAGTTACAAAACTGGATGCTCCTTACGATATATATAAATTGGATTGTAAAAATATAATTTCAAACTCCGACGCGTTTAAGTTGCGTTCGGCGCTGTTGACAATGAAGTTCAAAAAGAAATCGTGCGACTTGTATTCGTTTGGCCAATCGCCGGATTTCTATCGTATTTCGAACAAGGACAAACCCGACGAAGTACAACAATTCCTGCTCGTACTTGCAGAAATGAAGAAAAAAATTGCTACATTTCTGGAAAAAACATTTAACAAAACTACTAGCGTTTCGTGTTCAATGTACAACCATGGAGGTAAACGTTCGCTCTTTGTCGCTATGTTTTATTTTACGATAAAAATTCGTCAGTTTTAAAAATTATAGTTTAATATTAATTGCAAAGAATTAACATAATATAACTGTTATACATAATGATATATAAAATTGTTATTGTTTTTGAAATTACATTTAATAGTCAGTAAGCGACTTGGCCAAAGAAAATATGCTCGTGCACGCACAAAACAGTTGCTTTTTCAACTCTTGTCGCCAACTCGCGATAATTGCTTTTAGTTTAAGTATTCATAACTTCTGGACCATTAGAGTTTGTACATTTTCAAGGGCCTATTTAAAGTCAACATAAAGATAATAAACCACTAATTTAACAAAAATATTGTTTAATAATAATAATAAAAAAAAAAGAGTTGCGGTAAAGTAAATTTCTAATGAAAACTGTTTTTTTTTAAATACAATAACAATAGTACTCTGTCAAACGAAAATTATAATAACCATTTCAATTTTTTTTAGATTATTTACTATGTCACGATGATCGTGTCGACGATAGATCTGTGGCGTTTATTTATTATTTAAACTATGATTGGCTAAACGAATGGGGCGGCACGCTCGATGTCTATTCGATCGACGAAAATTATAATGCCAAAGAAATCGTCAATAGTATCAATCCAGAATTCAATACCATGATATTTTTTCCAGTAGGACAACACACTTACCATCAGGTTAGTAGTAAATAAGACTCGTTTCAGAGACCTTTAGTTGGTAGTTAGGTAATAAAATATGTAATTTTTTCTTATGTTTTAAGGTTGCGGAGAACGTATCAAATTTTTCTCGTATTTCCATCAACGGTTGGTTCCATTGCGATAGTTTATCGTGGAAACCTTATGACCAACAAGTGGAATTGCCAACTCCGATATTTTTACCAATTACCGTTTCCAAAGTAATGCCGTCGTCCATCAAGACAACACGAGCTTTTTACACTCCATACTCTAATTGGTATGATTTTATTTAAACAGACCAAGACTTATGCGTCAGAGTTTATCGAAACAATCTTCGAAGATCCTGACTACAGAGAAATTGTCCGTGAGTCATTCGTCGGCGACGGGTTCATCATGCTGGAAGGATTTTTCAAACAAGAAATGGTTGACATTTTTTCCAACGAGATATTTTCTAACGACCTAAAATGGCAAGTCAACGGACCGTTGAATAAAAGGTAACAACAATAATTGTTGTGCTTATAAATCTTTCACGTCTGTTTATATTTATTTTTTAAATAAAGAAATTACAAATACGTCGACCTGAACGATCTGCCCGACAAAGTCTTGTTTGTCGTCAACCTAATGAAAACGGATTTCATGTTTGAATTTTTAAAGGAGTGCACGGGCATAAATCTAAGCGGAGGTAAGCGCAACACGGTAAAATTATATGTAGTCCGTTGGTCTTGTGATGCAACACGTATCGATTGCAGTTTCGGTGGAAGTACAAAGATGGCACGGTGGCCATTACATGGTCTCTGGCGGTAACGATGGAGTAGACCATTTGAATGTGCTCAGCGTGTACCTGTTCTTCAGCCAGTGCTTTGGCCAAATGTCGGACAACATAAAAGACGATCTACATTACGTGTTCGAGGAACGCCACACGCTTCAACCGGTAAATAGGTAGATTTTTAATATTAGACCGTAGTCGGTACGGTAATGTCTCACCGTCGTCGTATTGCTTACAGAAATTTGCGTGCAAACCTCAAGACAACACTATTTTCTTGGTCAAGAGAGACTCCGACATGGAGTCCTATGTGAAATATTGTAAAAAAGTCGACGGCCACGCTTGGACCGTCATAGTGGCCAATTATCTAATCGCGGATAACTTAAAATGTTCCGTCGGAATTGAAATGAAGGAATTGTCGGAACATCATAATTGCGATCAATAACAATATCCGATAATCATATTATCGTAAAAAAAAAAAAAAATACTATTATTTAACTCGATAGACTACCAATTTTTTTTTTCATTTATTATTTTGGCAAAAAAAAAAGAAAAAAGAAGGAGATAGAGGAAGTTACCAATATGTACTTTTGACGTAGAATTACGATAATTTATTTTTAAAAATATGTCAAATTGTATTATAAAAAATTGTCGACTAGTTTTATATTAAAACGTTATAACTTATTGTAAATAATAATTATCGTTCTAATTTTTGCGAATAATAAATACGTCTGTTTGTTAACGGTCGAAAGTAAGTTTTGTTAAAAAAAATAATGTTAATGAATTAAAATTTCGAGTTTGCTTGTTAAATAAGATTTTCAAGTCGCAAAAAAAAAATACTAAATAAAACTTAAGTAATGTACCTTATTCTTGCCATTTATGTATTGGTAATTTTTTTATTTATTGTAATAAATATAATAAACGGCCAAGGACGGAACTTGTTTTGAATTTGTCTTTTAATATTTTGTTGTTGTTATTTTCAAGTCGACAACTGTTTTAGAAAATGTCTTAAAAAAGCATTTTTTTGTCCAACAATTCAATATTGTCAATTGCGCTTTAAATATATTTTTCCCTTTAGACTATTTTAATACTTTAATAAAATTCTAAGACTTATTTAATTTTACTAAAGACAAGTTCCTCAATTATTTTTCATACGTAGTCTTTTTTTTAAATTGATTGTATTGTTTTTATTTGAACGTCATAACAAGTTCGATAAGTGCACGTGTATACTTTATTTTCCTAAGTAGATTATTGTCTCGTAGTCATATTGTTAATTATTTATTATCTAGAAAAATAAACACTCGACCTTTAACTCAATTAAGATATTATTACTTTACCACAACAAGGATGTCAGATACTACGAGTAGACATTAGTAATATTATCGGCTCGGTTTGACCCAACTTCCAAACATAATCATATTGCTGGTAAGCTTTAGATGGATGAAATAAAATTATTGAGGCCTGAAATTGGTCAAAAATTTGCAAAATAAAATTAGAAAATGTCACAAGTGTTGTCAGTTGCACTTAATATTTAATTATAATACATAAAAAAAAGCACTTTGTGTTTGTATCAAAATTTGAAAATATTGTAAATCCAAAATGAGCAACACAATAATGAAAATCAAAATAATATTTTATTGCCTTTAAATTACAAAAATTTGGTCATCATAAATTCAGGATAGCCACTTAACAAATAAAATATAATCGGAAGTGACATTTTTTTTTTAAAGACTGAAAATGAACACATTATTTGGCAACCGTTTGTCAAAAAAAGGTTTCCAAGACAAAATTGACCTCATAGTTATACCTAAAATAATCATTAACTGATTTTGAACTTAAATAAATCAAAAACATTTTTTTTGTTTAAGATGTTAGCATATTTTTGAGTTAATAAATTATTTTTTGGAACAGTATAAACGTTTTGTTCTAAATGAAATCGGAATATCATATTTTTATTCATTCTCGTGTAGTAATAATAAAATATAAAGAGTTGGAAAAAACCTATTTAATCCTCGATTGAGAATAAAAAAAATGTTACCAACTTTGAAACAAAAATCGCTTTCGGTTTCAAACCCTAGACACGATTCAAGAAAAAGAATGTTAGGACAGACACAAAAACAACAGTGTTTGTAATAACTATGTGAATGTATTATCAAGTTTAGTATATAATTATGTTCTTTTTTTTCTCTTCCAAATTACCAAATTGCATCAAACATACATATAAATTATTGTTGAACATGCTTAACATTTATATTTTGTTCGGTATTTAATTATATTATTATTATTTTTTTTTTTAATTATATTATGTTTGACATATCAGTATAACTCGTTTAACTGAGCTGGCCGCAATTGTCGACAGTGATTCTTTTTGTGGTTTTGCCGCTCTGTGAACCGAAACCTTCGATTTTCTTGACAACGTCCATGCCGTCCACTACGGCTCCAAATACGACGTGTTTGGCATCCAACCAGGTGGTTTTTACGGTGGTGATGAAAAACTGACTGCCGTTAGTGTTGGGGCCTGCGTTGGCCATGGACAAGATGCCTAAAACAGAAAACCAATTGTTTGGTATTGAATTTTATAATTGCAAAGGCGACGTAGTCGGTTCTAAACTCAAATGACCACTCACCGGGTCCAGTGTGCTTCAATGTGAAGTTTTCGTCTTCGAATTTGTTTCCGTAGATCGATTTGCCTCCGGTGCCGTTGTGGTTGGTGAAATCTCCTCCTTGGCACATGAAGTTGGGGATGACGCGATGGAAGATGCTTCCCTTGTAGCCGAATCCCTTTTCGCCGGTACACAAGGCACGAAAATTCTCGGCCGTTTTAGGTACGACGTCGCTACGGAGCTACATGAAAACATAACGACGAAAAAATATTATTTCACATTTAGATATCGATGTGAATTCTATGCTCTTTTGAATCGATCATCATCAGGAAATCAAAAACCGAAAATATATTTTTTTCATATGTATCATACCTTTGTCGAGTGAAAGTACGTCTATACAAAGAGAATATTTAATTAGGTACAGAGAAAATACGAAAAAAAAAACAATAGGTATTATAATTTCTATTTACAGTCCAACGTCATTATAACAACGACAATGAGATTTACCCACAATCATAATTACCATAAGAATAATTAATTAAGTGTATAAACACGACTGGAAAATAGGTATAAACGAGAAATAAAACTTGAGTATTACCTAAAAGAAATGAATAAAAATCCAGTTCTGGACAATTTCTTTGACTTGGTACAAAATAATATAATATTATCATCTTATTATTGAAAAATCGGTTGGCACACAACCCGGAACCGCAATAACCGGTAACCCAATTAATTGTAATTCGGCTGACCTAAATCGCAGTACTCAAAATCTAACCCTAAACACTAAAATGTACAATCCTAATTAGATTAGTCGCACGCCGCCGTTTAATTAGGATAGTACTATTGTAGTAGTAATCTAATTAAAGACAGAACAGAGTTGTTTTTATTTGAAGTTCACGACCAAACGTTTGGAGGCCGTCCAAAAATGTCCTTCTATTTCAAGGCTGGAATTTGGCTTGGAAAAACAAAACGGACACGAGGTCCGATCGTTTTTTTTTGCCCCTTTAAACGTGAGCTCGAAAAAAACAAACTTAAGGCTTAAGTAGAACCGAATAACTCTTATTGGTGAGAAGAACAAATTGAAATTATTAAACGAATAAACCAATTTTTATTTATTTTTTTTGGAAAACGTGGGTCGGCGGCGGCGGCGTCGGGCGACATTTTGCCGTTTGCGCAATCGGCAATGGCCTCACCGCGGCGCCAAACGAAAAAAACAAACGCATCACCGGCGTTTTTGCACACTCACCTCGATTACGATGCGTCCGACGGGGTCACCGCCGGCGGACATGTCGAAGAAAACTTTCGGCAGACTCATTTTGCTGGATTTCGGTTTTGTCGAGTACAACGAACAAGTAGCGTTACCGGACGGCGGAAAAAAGTGCTTCAGCGGAGCGGCGCAACGGTACTGGTGCGGCGGCCGGCGGGTGAACAAGCGTAACGTGGTCGACGCCATTGTGTTTTATTATAGGTTAGGGCTGGAGTGGTGGCCACCCACCGGCGGCGCGGTCGTTATATAGCCGCGGTAATCGACCACACGGCGAGGCTGCGCGCGCCAAAGACGTTCCGGCACAACGGCCAAAGACGTTGTACATACACACACATTTTGCGCGGCACTTTCAAATGGCCAACCGCTAACCTCGATATTAATATTAACGAGACTTTGTTTTATAATAATAAAAAAAAAAAGCCAACAAGTCTATTACATACTCGATTAATAGCGCGTTCTAAGATCAGTTTTGAATTTACAAGTTTGAAAACCAATTATCTTAAGTTCTGAGAATTGACGGCAGAATTATGTTTTTACAACCTGAACTGAGTGTAACTTTTGGTGGGAAAAGGTCAAAACTGTGGTTATAACGGTAAAATTGTATTGCTATTTATTAGTTATTTTTTTGGCCACTGTTAACACAATACATTGTGATCAAAGAATTTTTAAAACAAGAATGATAACGCGTAGTAACGTTATTGTTGAATTGCGTTTATACGACTAGAGAACACATATTTTTTTAAATTTTAGTTTTTTGCGACTTACTGAACAAAAAAAAAAAAAAATAATATTAATAATTAAAAACTTGACGAAAATTATAGTAACATTAATGGCAGTTATTCGAGTTCTCCGCAGTCGGCAATGACGATTTTCTTTTTGGTCACGCCAGTGTTGCTTCCCAAAGATTCGATTTTCATCAACACGTCCATGCCTTCGACGACATGACCGAAGACCACGTGCTTGCCGTCCAACCATTCCGTCTGTGCGGTGGTGATGAAAAACTGACTGCCATTCGTGTTGGGTCCGGAGTTTGCCATGGACAAAACACCTGAGACGAAAAATTGTAATACATTTCTATTGTATTCAACCGATTTCTTCTTCACGTAGCAACTCTATAGATCAGAAATCATATACCCGAAAGGTACTTTGATAGGCCGAAAATTTAAAAAAGTCACCCCTTCCCCGTCAAAATCGAGAAAAACACCCAAAAAATGTACACATTTTTTTGTCAACTTCAAATTACGATGCTCTAAAACTTTTTTTAAAAATAGTCGAAAAAGTTCCAAATTTATACAAATTGTTCTTCAAACATAGTTCTATCGATAAACATTAAAAAGGCGTCGCACCGCTCATTTTTAAGGAGTAAAGTATAGGTAATTTTTTACAAAACCATAATTTAAAGGTTAAACTGTGGTGTGTAATTATTATTAACTCTATTTTGGTAGTTAAGTTAATTTTTTGGACTATCGCAGCATCCTTGAAAGCGATTTAAAAATGTTTTTTCATCTCTACATGTTTAAGCAGACTGGAAATAACTCGCTTAATTTTGGATTTAGAGTAAAAGCACCCATTATAAAATTAAAAAGAGAACAATATTCCGGAGGGCAAGACGGTGTATTTTTTCCATTATTCCAAGTATAACGCTAATTACATAGTTTAGAAATAACGACTATTTTAACATTTTTAAATGACTGTAACTTTTAAAAAAATGATTTTTTTTTTTTAAAACGCACCGTCTTGCCTCCGGAATATTGTTCTCTTTTGATTTTATAATGGGTGCTTTTACTTTAAAACCAAAATTAAGCGAGTTATTTTCAGTTGGCGTAAACATGTTTTTACCACTGCAGATCACCGGTCCGACGCCCTTTTAACAAACCGAAAAAATATCATTTACCCTTTGCCCTAGAAGGGATAGAATTTTTTTCACTTTTTCAAGCAAAGTTTTAGAGATTTAGATCTGAAAATGAAACTTATAACATATTATGCAATTTTCTCAAAAATCTGTAGTCAAATTTTTAGTTGTACCTTACAAGCTTTCCAATCTATCACTCTACGTATTATCTCTTCTGCCCCATGGTATGTATCAAACTGCACACTTCAAAATGACTTTAAAATAGAACCAATAAACCATTTAGCCATAAAACACTACAAAAAATTTCATTCCAAACTACACACTCATTCTAACCCTTTAATATCTCAACTTGCTTCTAATTCACTCCCCGGAAATCCACCTCGCCGACTCCGAAGACATTGGTGTCGAGATCTGTTAATACAATAATTCAAATTAATCTAATTAAAAATAATTAGAACAAAAATCACGTTGGGTTCTATTACTGGATAGCCTCCCTCCTCATATCAAATCACCGTTTCTATTTGTTTATTTTTTTTTCCCTCTCTCTGTATATATATCAATGTAACTATTTGCTTATTATGCCTTGCAGCATAGATTGTAAATACTCTTTAATAAAAAAAAAAAAAAAAAAAAAAAAAAAAAAATTTTTAGTTCATTTTTATAGACAGACGATATCTTCTAAACTAGCTACAACTGGTTCACTATATACTATCCACAGATTCGCATCGAAGCGTTTATTCAAAAGTGATTTTGTCTGACCTGTGACCGCTCCGTCCCCACTATGCCACCCCGACACCACTGTACTGACGCTTTTTTTAATGTAATTTTGGAAAATTAATATAATACAACGTTTACCCGGTCCGGTGTGCTTCAACGTGAAGTTTTCGTCTTTGAATTTCTTCCCGTAGATCGATTTGCCTCCGGTGCCGTTGTGGTTGGTGAAATCTCCTCCTTGGCACATGAAGCCGGGGATGACGCGATGGAAGATGCTTCCCTTGTAGCCGAATCCCTGTTGGCCGGTACACAGCACTCGGAAGTTTTCCGCCGTCTTGGGAACTATGTCATGTCTCAGCTGCAAACAATTACAAAATTAAAGCCCGTACAGCAGAGATGAGGGGGTTGATTTTTCTTTAAAAAAAAATGTACAAATCGTTACAACATAATATCTGCATCTCTGCTTTGCGTCGAAGCTAAAATACAATATTTTATTTACAAAGGACCCACCTGTGAAGTATAAATTATTGTTTTGTAACTCGACCCGACCAAAACCCGGACCAGACGCGGGTTAACCGTTCAGGCCTAACCGAGTAAAGTAAATTTGTAAAAACATTTTTGTATAGAATAATAATTTATGTACTGTCACCCAATATTACTTATTTTTTTTTTATTTGCACTAGGGGGAGTTATTTTTATAATTCCATAAGACCCTTTGACGACATATGGTCTTGCCAGTTGTTACAATAGGTACGTTTTTTTTCTGATAAACACACACGCTTTATAGTAATACCCGGTACTGCACATGATGTGTTAAAAAAAAAACCAATACCCGAATAACCGAAATGAAGTAATTTTACTTTTTTGGTTATTAAAATATGAAATGAAAAAACAATTTTTAGGTCGATAACTTTAAAAACTTGTTGGGAATTGGAGAAAAAAAACGAAATGCTACAGACTAATAGTAATAGAAAATAGATATTAGATACAAGTAGATTGGATTTCATACCCAAGTGGTATAATGATTTAAACTTTGAAAAAAATGTGTGTGTGTGTGTGTGTCACATTTTATAAACGCACATAATAATTTTCAATTTTATTTTAAGCCATAAAATATAGAAATTTTATTCTAAGCTTATTGAAAGAGCTTGTCAAGAAGACACACAATACGAATTAAAACAAATTATTTTCAAGTTAATTACAATTAAAACAATAAGTTTTGTTATTAAAGGTCTTGTTAGAACCACCTTGACATGCAGAAGTGCAGTTACAGAACTTAATGAGATATATAAAGTTTATTCACTATACAGAGCTTTAAAGTTATACTGCCCTATCCATCATTAAAAAAAAACCACATTTCCCCCCCCCCCTAAATTTTCATACTTTTTTAAATTATATGCTCAGCAATAAAATATACAATATTGTATTTTGTCTTAAGACTCACTTGAATGATTATTCTACCGATGCTGGTGCCGTCGGCGGTCATGTCCAGGAACACTTTGGCGTTGGTGGCCTTCTTCTGGACCGTGTCCTCGAAACCGGCCATACGTTCTGCCGAAACTGTGAGGGGGAAAAAAAACCACGAAAATCTTTAGAATTCAGAAGAAAAATCCAAGTAAACAACAAGAAGAATAGTAATAATTAATAACATATGGACTAACGACTGTGGAAAAAAGTGATAAAACAAAACGCAACGTTCAACAACGACTTCATCTTGGTCTAGGTATAATAAGTATTATTAATGTTTTACTTTTCCACTGGCAATACAGCAGTTGCTTCGGGTGAGGTGCAGTTGTAACTACTAACTTGTGTGATGTGTCTTGTGCCGGTAGGTAAGTCTCTGTTCGTTTGTTATTTGAAAAAAAAAAAACCAAATGTTCTTACACTATCGATTGAATAATACTAAAGTAAAAATAAAACCAATTGACAATTTTATATGGAAAAATCTTCTGGCCGGACATTCCAATGGGGATCAATCACTAATGATCAATAATGATCAATAATTATCGCTACAATAATTATTATTAACTAACTACATGGAAGTGCTATACTATCGATTTTGGGTGATTCGATTCTTAGACAATCGATTGTTCACGTGGAAACGCGCGCCACGCCGGCCGGTTAACGATGGCCGTTGGTTGATGGATTCGTCGAAATGGCGGCAAATTTGAATTTTTTTAACAAAATATTCAATACAATAATAGTATGTTACAATAATAATTATTATCACTATGGTCGACAACATTTTGTAACGAGGAAGATGCTTGCTTATTCTGGAATACTTACCTATCGTTATTAAAGCCATTTTTATTTTGATTCGAGTTTTTGTGTTTTCAACGATTAACCCTAATCATATTCTAATACTACAAATACAATTTTAAGCAAATTATGAAAGTTATTTTATATATAAATCTATAGGTACGAATTGAAGCGTTTATTTGAAAGTTATGTTATCACTTTAATTTGTAACAATTCATAAAGTCTTGTGGACTAAGTGTTTTACAGAGAATGTATGGGAAAAATTGTATTTTGTATTGATGTATGTATTTTGAAAATGTTTGCAGGTTTTAAAATATATAATATATCACCCCTCCATAACCTAAAAAACAATAAAAGAAATCTATAAATTTTTCAACAACCCAAAAAAACATTTAAAGCTCTTTCCCTAAAAGTGGTGGGAATTTTTTTAGTTAGGAATCTTTAGTTAAACGTTATTTTTCTATTAAAAAAGCTCCCCCCCCAAAAAAAAAAAATCAACCCTCATCGTTTCCACCATAATAATAATAAGATAATGTATTTTAAACGCAGAATTGCCTTCCCCACTTTTGGAATTTTTTATTATGCATAAAAAAATTATATTTTATTTTTATGTACTTTTCTTTGTTTTTTATGAAAATATGTTTTATGTATATTATTATTAGGCTCTTTATGTAAATATTTCGAATGTATTAGTTAAACTTAAGTCTATGTTATACCTATATTTAGTTAAGTTACTATTTTATTTTACAACCTATGTATACATTATAATATTTGAAAACGCCTATTTTTTTTTTGCCACACTATCTCAAACCTTCCATCGTGATTTGTATTAAATAATAATAATAACAACAAATCAATGTATCTACTTAACCGCAATTGCTTACATAAGTGAAAAACATTGGCTGTATAAGTTTAAAAATGATTAAATGAAAATGTAAATCTGGCTTTGGGCTCATAAAAACACTTCAAACGTTTATTATTATCTGTTATTTAAATGTTAAACAAACAGACTGTTGTTCGTATTAAAAGAGTTGTTGAATTCAATAATATTGTTTCTATTTGAAAAGTTAATGGCATTCATTGAAAACACTTAAATCTCAATTGCACAGCTCTGATCTCAATACACATTACACACATTTGGAAAATGTTTGAACGGTATTTGACACTAATTTTTATAAATACATATTTTTTTACAATTGTCCACAAATATCTGGAGTTCATTTTTACATTTAATTACAAGTCAGCGGAGACTATTTAAAAAGGAAATCCTATCGTTTGGCATGTGGCAATAATAATTCCAGAATTTCATAGTAACTACCGACAGATATGTAATATTGTTATCACATTTGGGTTGATCAACGATTGACATTTTATATGGACGATTGACAAGCTATTCAAATGAGCAAAAATCAAACACATAGCTTAACCAAACATCTAATAAAAATCATATTGTAATGCTTCACTTGTGTGGCAAGTGGTCAAGTTGACCATTGTAAACTCGGATGATGACTTTCAATTCTTCGGTATAATGGTAGTTTATTGGATTTAGGCTTTAGATCTGAGACAACCTGAACGACTCACACACCCTTCACAATTTGTTGCATTTGGACGACTTACACAATCTTCACAATTTTTACAACTTTCACAATTTGTATGGTTTGAGCAATTTGTGCAGTTTGTATATTTATGTTTTCTCATTAATTTGATTACAAACGTTTCATGTAGGAATAGGGACTAAGTTTTTGACAATCGAATAATAATTCATTAGGAGGCTTCTAACTAAATGTAAATTTTCTGTTAATTAGTGTTGTAATTTTTCATATTTTATTTATAATTTGATTTTTCATTTGTTTACTTATCGGACGTTAAAAAAGGTATGTCACTTTACGTTTATTCTAGATTCTGACGATTCCAACTGGTAGCTCTTGTTTACTGTCACTCAAATGTCTTTAATTTAATTGTACTTATCCCATTTCTTTAAAAATACAGAAACTTATCTATATTTATTTTTTTCGTCAAATACAAATAGTTTATGAACTGCAATATTGTATATTTTACAATAATTCTATAAGCGTACTACAGTATAGTATATAATATTATTAATATGGGTTATATAATATGTCTCTATTTATAGAGACACGTACGATTAAAGTATATAATATGGGTTAAAAAAAACAAGATAATTGTTTATTCAACAGAGTAAGTTATAAAAGTAATATTGTCTTTACACTTTTCTTGGTCAACGGTTGACAGTTCATGTGGACGAACTGACATTATTCGGTTGCGCAACTGTAAATAAAAAAAAATATTTGTTTTTAGACCGATTAATCAATTTAAACTAGTTTATTTCAAACAATAAACATTACAATAGTAGTAAAAGTGTTTGTTATTCTGTATTTACTTGATCTAAGTGCGTTTTGTTTAGGACCTTTGATCTCGACAGAATGGTTACAGAATGTCTGTGACCGTAAGGTATTTTTTGACTGGAATGCACGCCAGCATAGTTTTCATAATCAGTGGCAAACACGACCAAAGACGATTTCCCTGTAATGTGAATTGTACAAATTACTAAATAAGTATCTAAAAAAAAAAAGGAACCAGTACCCCACTGTACTGTCAGAGCATAGTGAGGCGGTATCGTCACAGGTCTAAATGAATTATTATTACAAATGAAAGTGATAAAACAACTTTTAAATAAACGCTTTGGAATATACAAATGTATTGTTTAAAATTTATAAATTATACAAATTATTTATATTATATTATATTACAGTTTCGATGAGAATTTGTATTCATTCATAGAAATACAATTATGGATACAAGCATTGTACCTAATAACAATAATGTGCTTAAAAATATGTTTTTGTTGTAAGGGTTGGATACGAATAGGGTTATCATTTGTCTATAGTAACTTATACATTGTCCAATACCTGATGACTTTTGATTCACTCACACATAGTAACTTTGACTACGGTCAAAGTGTAATTTCCTCATTATTTTTGTTTTTTAAAAAATTAATAGATTTTTAAGAGAATTGTGTATGTTTAGGCCCATTTTCGATCTATATTAGGTCTAATTTTCCGACTTTAAACCTTAAAACTCCACCTAATAAAGTGAAATAAGGAAAAATATCCACCCCCGTTCTGAAAAGAAAGGGTTTATGAAGTTTTAGAGCGTAGTCATTTGAAGTAGGATAATATAAACATATCTTTTCGATTTTGAAGGGGAAGGGGTGAAATTTTACAATTTTGGCCCAAGAACTTCAGGTACAATTTCGGATCTATAGAGTTGTTACACGAAGAAATCTTATTGGCTTAGAAGACATTGTCGTGGGTAAAGAAACAAAAAAAAATATATATATATATATACAAACACATTATTGTAATAACAGTACGTTGTCAGTTCCGCATCGAAGCTTACATCTGTTCACTATGGGCAAGTAAATTTAACGAAAGGTTTTGAATGTAAATTTCGACATTATGAGAGGATTTTCGGTACCATTGGGCGATGTATTAGGCGATTAGACATTAAAATTTCAAGTACTCACTCTGAGGGAAAGTAACGGTCATTGATGATGGCAGAATCGAATCGGCTTTCAGTTGTACGGTATAACGGTAATTACTGTATTTATCTTCTCCGGTTGTAGAATTTTCGCTAATATTATGTTCCAATTCGTTCGAATTGTTACAAGTCGTACAACTCACACAATTATTACAATTTCGTATACCCGTACAACTTGTACAGGTATTGCAACTTGAACAACTGTCACAACTTACACACGTATTGCAATTATTACAGTTCAAACAACTTGTACAACCGACACAATTCGAGCAATCTCTACAGTTCACACAGTCCACACAATTTCTACAATTTATACAACTTACATTGTTAGGTTCTTGTTGGCTTGCAAAATCAAAAATCATACACCGATTCGACAGCGCCGTCATTTGTACGGCGTACCATCGTCCTAGAAACTTCAAAAATAATCAAAGATAAGTATAGTACTTAAAAAATTTCTACAATAGTTTTAATTCAATAAGTCGTTCATAAAGCTTAACTACAACACTTAAAAATACTTCCTGGTAATGTTTTTTTTTTAGCAATTATCATTTGTATCGTTGTCAATAGGTTGTGACTTAATAAAAAAAAATTAATCATAAAAAATATTTTGTAAATTGTAAAAAAGTTGATTACTTTTTAAGTTAGAATTGTTTAAATGAATAAATAAAGTTCCCCGTATTAATCAAACACAAAAAAAAATCCAGAAGAAGTCTTGAATGTTAAGCTAGAGATCTTTTTAAGAATATCTAATATGAATAGGCTACTATCGATTGGTAAGTAAGACAATTTTTTTTTAGACGGATGTGCATAATATACTTGTACTTACTCTTTCCATTACGAAATCGGGCAAAGGTTCAAAATCGGGGTGTTGATCCAAATGATAAGAATGTCCGGAAATGAAATTCAAAGAAGTAACGAGCAACACAGACAAAGTACATAATCCTTTAAACTTCATTGTACAGCTGTGTAAATCAAATGTGATTGGATTCTATTACAAAAAAAAAATATTTTATCACTTAAATAGACAATATATAAAAAGTATTATTTCTTATTATAGTTTTTAGGAACATTTGTTGAAAATAAGTCGGGATAAAATGGTATTTTGGTCAAACTATAAATTGCACGACTGAATCATTATGGTATTTAGTAATTTAGGGCAGGTAGTCTTACTCATAAATTGACTAACAAAATTACTTAGAACTGTAAACGTATTGAGCATTTTTTATATTCAATTAAGAATTTTAGTACTACATTTTACTATTATTAAATCGTTATGTGACTTTCACTTACCTTATAATAGTATTCTGTAGGTTTTTGTCGAGTTAAATGAGTTTTAAAGAAAATAACAGTTGCAGTCTTAGTCTGAATGTAGTGTGTTATATACCTACCAAATGCAATCAGTATATCTTTGATGAGATTGTTTTGCCAAACTATAAAACGAATTTATTGAAAAGTCCACTTATATGAGCGGCTAGGATTATAAAATAATATTTTTTTTACATAATTATACATAATTTTATATTAGGCCTATATGGAACAAAGAATAAATACTTGACAATTGTTTTTAAACTTTTTATGATGGAATTCACGTACACTGTAACTGGAGAGCAACAAAATATATAGATAATAAATTGTGTTTATTTAGATATTATTAGTCATCTGGAAAGATAATATTATAAAACAATAAGACCCCGCACTTGTTACTATGTATAGTATTGCATAAGTTGTGCAAGATAGACAATTTAACAACAATTAACATCGAAATAAGAAGTAACCGTTTTCACCCTTTTATTACCTCTTATCCGGGAGATACAAATGAGGGACGGTTATATCCGATAATTTCCTTTTATACAACTTCCAGAAATAAGTAGTTGAATAGTTGAGTTATAAATCTAGATTGTAATAATTTGAATAGATTACTAAATATGGATAGGCTCAAGTAGTTTTTGCAACAAATTCGGTAAACCACTAGTTTTTTGAAATGAGGGCGATCATTTCTAATGATTTTACAGTGTTCTCAAAAATCGGAGTTATGAAACTGGATTCCTATCTATCCGGGAAAACGATTGTTAAACACTTAATATACTTCAAATTCGATAAGGCGTTAAACACTTCACTGGCCGAGATTAAACACGAGGTTAATTTTACATTAGGTGAAATATTAAAAGTATTAGGACATGTGGTGTTAGGCCAAATAGCTTAAAAAAATGTGTTGACTACTTAGAATGGTCCAATTTCAATTGTGTAAAAATATACAAATTCTTTGGCTACTTTAGTAAATGATACTTCATGTTCATTGTCAGTAATAGTTTGGCTATATCCACTACTCAAAATGAAAATAAATAAATTTATTTGAAAAGTTACACTATCTGTATAAATATACTTAGTTAATAGTTGCTTTATTAAATTAATTCTGCTTCTATGCACAATAAGACATATTCATGTTCTAATGTCTTTTCTTTACGGGAAAAATTAACTATACTATTATTTTTTACTTAACTTTTTTTACCTATTATCTTGTTTCAATTTGTAATTAATAATGTGTACACAATATTATCTACAATAAGGAATTACCGGCTATAATCGTCCTTCATCTGCATCTCCCTGGTAAGGGGTTAATAAAAGGGTGAAAACGGTTAATTCTTGTATTGATGTTAGCTGTTGTTAAATTATTTAACTTACACAACTTATAAAATACTACATGTGCAGAGTCTTATAGTTTTAAGCTATTATCTTTATGGATGGCTAACAACATCTAAATAAACAAAATGTATTATCTACATATTTTGTAGCTCTCCAGATTCAGTGTACTCACGTACACCTTTCATCATAAAAAGTTTGAAAACAATTTTCGAGTGTATATTTTTTATTTTGTATAGGACTAAATATAAAATAATATATTATTAAAAAAAAAAATACTTTATATTCCTAGCCGCGCATATAAGTGGACTTTTCAATAAATTCGTTTTATATTTTGGCAAAATAATCTCAAAAAAAGATATACTGATTACATTTGGTAGGTATATAACACACTACATTCAGATCTAGACTGCAAGTATTATTTTCTCATTGAACTCGACAAAAACCTACAGAATACTATTATAAGGTAAGTGAAAGTCACATAACGATTTAGTAATAGTACTAAACTTCTTAATTGAATATAAAAAATGCTCAATACGTTTACAGTTCTAAGTAATTTTGTTAGTCAATTTATGAGTAAGACTACCTGCCCTAAATTACTAAATTACTAAATACCATAATGATTCAGTCGTGCAATTTATAGTTTGACCAAAATACCATTTTATCCCGACTTATTTTCAACAAATGTTCCTAAAAACCATAATAAGAAATAATACTTTTTATATATTGTCTATTTAAGTGATAAAATATTTTTTTTTGTAATAGAATCCAATCACATTTGATTTACACAGCTGTACAATGAAGTTTAAAGGATTATGTACTTTGTCTGTGTTGCTCGTTACTTCTTTGAATTTCATTTCCGGACATTCTTATCATTTGGATCAACACCCCGATTTTGAACCTTTGCCCGATTTCGTAATGGAAAGAGTAAGTACAAGTATATTATGCACATCCGTCTAAAAAAAAATTGTCTTACTTACCAATCGATAGTAGCCTATTCAAATTAGATATTCTTAAAAAGATCTCTAGCTTAACATTCAAGACTTCTTCTGGATTTTTTTTTGTGTTTGATTAATACGGGGAACTTTATTTATTCATTTAAACAATTCTAACTTAAAAAGTAATTAACTTTTTTACAATTTACAAAATATTTTTTATGATTAATTTTTTTTTATTAAGTCACAACCTATTTTCAACGATACAAATGATAATTGCTAAAAAAAAAACATTACCAGGAAGTATTTTTAAGTGTTGTAGTTAAGCTTTATGAACGACTTATTGAATTAAAACTATTGTGGAAAGTTTTTAACTACTATACTCACTATACTTATCTCTGGTTATTTTTGAAGTTTCTAGGACGATGGTACGCCGTACAAATGACGTCGCTGTCGAGTCGGTGTATGGTTTTTGATTTTGCAAACACACAAGAACCTAATAATACGAATTGTATAAATTGTAGAAATTGTAAAAATTGTGTAAACTGTAGAGATTGCACGGATTGCAATGATTGTACGGGCTGTACAAATTGTAAAGGTTGCAGGAGTTGTGTAAGTAGTACGAATTGTGAAAATTCCAATAGTTGCACAAACTGTCACGGTTGTTCAAATTGCAAAAGTTGCACAACTTGTAACGGTTGTACGAATTGCAAAAGTTGTACGAAATGTACGAATTTACGAAATTGTAACAGTTGTACGAATTGTACGCGTTGTCCCAATTCGAACGGATTAGAACATAATATTAGCGAAAATTCTACAATCGGTGCAGATAAATACAGTAATTACCGTTATACCGTACAACTGAAAACCGATTCGATTCTGCCATCATCAATGACCGTTACTTTCCCTCAGAGTGAGTACTTGAAATTTTAATGTCTAATCGCCTAATACATCGCCCAATGGTACCGAAAATCCTCTCATAATGTCGAAATTTACATTCAAAACCTTTCGTTAAATTTACTTGCCCATAGTGAACAGATGTAAGCTTCGATGTGGACCCGACAAGGTATTGTTATTACAATAATGTGTTTTTATTATCATTTTTTTTATTATTTTGTGTCTGTGTAGCAACTCTATATATCAGAAATTTTAGCTAAAAGATACATCTTCGGGCCAAAAATTAAAAAAGTTCACCCTTTTCTCTTCGAAGTCGAGAAAAACACCAAAAAAATTTGCATATTACATTACTTGAAGCTACTGCGCTCTATAACTTATTAAAAACGGTCCAAATTCGTATGGAATATTCTATAGACATAGTACCACCGATAAACGTTGACGAGACTAAGAAAATATCATAAACTCTTTGCCTTCAGAAGGTGGGTAGAACTTTTTCTTTATTTCACTCTTTTAGGCGTTTCAAAGTCTGAAAATTAAACTTAATATAGATCTAGAAGGGACTGTAGCATATATAATTTTCTCAAAAATTGGATGTCAACATTTTTTTTGGGAAAAACCCATAAAAAATGGGAAAATTATTCACTTTGACCGTAGTTAATTTCTAAGTTGCCACGTGTGAGTTAACAAACATACAACAGGTACTCCAAAATGTATGTAACTATGGCGATAAGTTATTATAGACAGATGATCACCCTGTTCGTATCCACCCTTATAACAAAAATATATTTTTAAACACATTATTGTTATTAGATACAACGCTTGTATTCATAATTGTTTTTCTATGAATACAGATTCTTATCAAAACTGTGATATAATATAAATAATTAGTATAATTTATGTAGTAATAATTTATTTAGACTTGTGACGATACCGCCTCACTATGCTCTGACAGTACAGTGGGGTACTGGTTCCTTTTTTTTTAGATACTTAATTAGTAATTTGTACAATTCTCATTACAGGGAAATCGTCTTTGGTCGTGTTCGCCACTGATTATGAAAACTATGCTGGCGTGCATTCCAGTCAAAAAATACCTTACGGTCACAGACATTCTGTAACCATTCTGTCGAGATCAAAGGTCCTAAACAAAACGCACTTAGATCAAGTAAATACAGAATAACAAACACTTTTACTACTATTGTAATGTTTATTGTTTGAAATAAACTAGTTTAAATTGATTAATCGGTCTAAAAACAAATATTTTTTTTTATTTACAGTTGCGCAACCGAATAATGTCAGTTCGTCCACATGAACTGTCAACCGTTGACCAAGAAAAGTGTAAAGACAATATTACTTTTATAACTTATTATGTTAAATAAAAAATTATCTTATTTTTTTTTGTTACCCAGCTTGGAAATAATTTACTTTAACCGTACGTGTGTACTAATAGAGGCATTTTATTATATAACCCCTAATAATAATATTATACCTACTATATACTGTACTGCTTGTATGAAAGTATTGTCAATTATACATTGTACAATATTGCACTACATAAACAGATTTGTTTCTGTATTATAACAGGAATGGGATAAGTAAAATTTAATTGAGGGCAATTTTACCCAAAAAATGACATTCTAGCGGCGTTTGAACATGGTTGGCTTTGGCATATATTTAATATATATATTATATTATTCCAAAATATGTTTATTGTTACAAAAGAAAATTAAGTTTTCAATAGGTTAAACTGTTCTTGATAAATGATAATACATCAGCAGCGGCGGTGATGTCGGTGGCGCGGTGGTAAGGTTAAAATGTCAACTATTTTTAATTTTTTACTTTGTAGGTTTTTTTTTTGAGACTGTTCAACTTTTTATTTTTTTATTTTATTCCAGAAGACTTTTAAAACTTGAGGGTATTGCATGTGGTCTGTTTTTTTACGTTTAAGACTAAAAAGCCAGATAAAATTGAGAATTACTTTTTAAGTTTAGTTTCTTGTTTCAATTAATTAAACTCAAACATTTATATTTTTGATCAACTGTGCGGTTGTCTTTTACGGGGCCGATTTTTTAGTTGAACACCATAAGATATTATATGTGATTTTTTTTTACAGTTTTCCAAAGGTACACATGTGTAATAATAATACACATAAAAAAACTTAAAACGGTCTATGCGGCCAGATTTTTCGCACTGTTAAATGCGTTAGTATAAAAAATACCTTGAAGTATTGTGTGCAAAAACATACAGTTATTTTCCATTGTTTTCAGTGTCTTCGTTTTTCAGTTTCGCGTCGATGCGAATAGCATATGAGTAAACATATCTTCTCTAAATCAATACTCGACCACGAAAACAATTTTCAAAACTTGAAATAATAGCACACAATAAAACGTTGGAAAATAACTTGAAACCGAAATGCGTTTCTACTAAAAATATGCAGGAATAATTTTTGTACCCTGAACTGTACTTATATGTAAACGTTTTTTCAAGCCAATACATTACCGAAGTGGTTGATATGTAATAAATACAACACATAAGCAACAAATGTTTTTATAATCGAGATTAAAACTGTTTATTTTTAAGGACAACAAAATTTATCGACAATTTTCATATTAGAAGTGGTGCACAAATAATTTATATACAACAATAATAATATAGTACCCTAAAATAAGTTGTCCTTATATTTTCTGGTCAATTTTTTTTTACTTGATCGGCGAGTAGATGAAGTTTAGTATCATTATTATCAATTTCCCAAATCTCGTCTCCAATTTGTTTGTAATAGAATGCTGAATCATTGTCTAAAGGTTCTATAATACATCGTCCTCGAGTTCCTTCACAGAAATCAGCAGCTTCTATGACCGAAGTTGGTTCTTCAATAGCCCTAAACACTGCTATTAAACGACACACATCGACAAAAGCTTTAAACTCCTCACTAAGTTCTCCTCCTTAAACAAAGAACAAATACAAAAGTGACCAAACTTAGTTAATTTAATGCTTCATTCCTTTATTAATATAGAAAAGTAATAGAATGTACAGAGTGATACACAGCTGAAAATACTGTATATCATCACCGATTTTTTTTTAATCAAAATTGCAAAAAAAAAAACTAAATTAAGAAGATTTTATACTAAGAAAAACATTGTCGTCGTAAAGAAATTCTACCATGTTCAATATAAATTGAAATAACAAAGTGTAATATTAATATTACTAATGATTGTATTATAGGAAAAGTCTAGTTCATTATCCACGTTGTTTGAGATTTATTATAAAAAAAAAAAAATAAACAGTGTGTTCCTGTGCTAAGAATTAATGTCTGTACCTAAATTATATATATATATTTTGTATTTTAATATAATAATTCAATAAAAATTTTGTTAAAAGTTAATTAAATTACAACAATCGAAATTAATACAATAAGAGATTAATTGTGTACACATTTGTAAAAAATAATAGCTTATTTGTTGCTATATTTTTTTATGTTATTGGGGTAATAGTGAATGTCTAAACTATAATTTGTATTGTATTTTAATAGTTGTTTAAATATAATAATTAAATGATAATTTATTTTATAAGTTAATTAAATTAGAACAATTGAAATCAATACAACTAGATTAATTGTGTATAAAAAAAAATAAAAAAACGCAATATGCATACTTACTTATTACAGAACGAATTAAATTTTTTACAGTTTCACTAGTTAATTTTCTTCTTGCATCTCCCAAATCTGATAGGTTGAAGTTTTCTAATTGACCTTTCATTTCTAACGAATAATAGAAAACAAAAATTAGTTGCACTTTGCATCGCATTAGTGCATAATTGGTACTTTACGAGTAAAAATTAAAATTGTTTCAACGTTTCCCCTTGAAAGATGAGTAAACCCGTTAAAATTATATTTTACAATGATGTCCCTTTTTTTTGACTAGAAAAAAATTGAAAACTAATATCTAATTCGAAATCAGCGACCCCCAAAACTATATATGATGACCAATTTTTAAGTCATTTGCATTAAAATCCAAAAAAGTGAATAAGCTTTGGTGGTCCAAACCAAGCACAGATAAAAATTATCAGTGTGAGGTTTAGTGTGCTGTTATTGGACTAGTTTGTACTGGTTGAGTTGGACTGTGCTAATTTAGATTGTACTTGATTTGAAATATTCGTAAAATGTCTTAATAACAAGACAAAAGCATCGAAATATGTGAAATAAAGAACAGCCACCAACAAGATTTCATATTTTTTTACTCTGTTTAACTTATACATTGGCCATTTACAAAGTAAAACCAAAAAAAAAAGTGTATGGTTATAATTTTACCTTCGTCTAATACAGTAATTACATCTATATCTGCAACCAAAATATATCAAATTATTATACCGTTAAAAAATATAGTTTTTTTAGTTTTACTGTACAAAATGAGTCATCTTAGAATTGAGAATATTTAGACAAATAAATCAATATAAAATGTTCAAAAATCTGCTGGTAGGAATTAAGGGCTTTTACTAAGTTTTAGTCGACCATCAAAACCGTATGCAAACAATATGTAGGATTATAAACTCTAATTGAATATTTATTGTAATTAGATAAAATTGAATAATTATCCAATTTAATAGTTGTTCGATTAAAAAAGAGTTTAGTTTTATAATTACCCGTTGTATAAGTTATCATGTCTTGCAAAAAAATCTGGTACACTAATTTGTCTAAAATGTAAAACAAATATATTATAATGTACAACAGTCATTACGATAGAAATTAATTGTATGTAAGTCTTTGATTGTTCTCAATATAATATATAGTATATTATATATTTACTACTAAATATTTACCATATTTTGTGTCTACTTCTTTTTTTGTATCTGAAATTATAATAAATACATTTTATACTTTATGAATATCAAACAACTAGGTTAGGTAAAAATATTTCCAAACAAATTATTACCCGGCGATGCTAACATTAAACTTGCATCCCCTAAAAATTTACATAAAATAAATGTTTTATTTAATGACATAAGATTTTATTTTGTATTCTAGGTATTGTAAATTATAAGATGGAAGCCAAATAGTATGTTGTTCGATTTATTATAGTAAACTAAATGGGATAATGGTGAGTTTAAATAAAATAAATCCAGCGTTTTTTGCCAGAAAAATTACATTCTGAGTAAAATTACATCATTGAGAAATTTGCAACGAGATAATTTGTGGCTTTGTAGTTGCTATTATTATTTTATATACTATATAATAATAATTACTTATCAGAAAATCTCCACGAACAATTTCTTTAATCACTGCCGGTAGTTGAGCTGGAACAAACAAATAACGGGTTGAGCTTTAATATATATATATATATATATATATATATATATATATATATATATTATCCTTTTCATTTATTTTATCTTTAGTGATACCTAATGAATATTTGAAATACATCAAAAGTTATTAAAATGTATCCTTATTTTTGTTGAACAAATTGAGATGCTGATTTTCTTCATTCCTCACCCTTTGCTAAGCGTGCTGGCAGTCCTAACTTTTCTTGTCCTTTTATGTTTATTAACTTAACTAAAAATCAGATCTACATCATACCTATTAAATTTAGTTATTTCGATTAAATTAAAGTAAGAGTATACAACGCTTCAAGCGATTACCACTTCACTGAACACTGTAATTATATTATAGAAAGAAATATATTCATTGAGAATAATAATAAATTTGATTTAAATAAATTGAGCGTCTACATTGTGTTTAAAACTCTTGTACTTTACACCCCACTCTATTTTAAGATTTAAACATATTATAAAAACTAAAATTTAAAAAATCACTTTACAATCTCACACAAACTTATCAACAACAATTATATTTTAGTATATCGATGTTACCTTCCGCCTGCTTCAAGTGTAAGTCTGTAAATAAATTAAATAAATATATTAAAACTAATCTATAGGAAAACAAATCTTTACTAACTTGCTCTGAAAACCTCCGTAGTGTATCGATCTACAAAAAAAAAAAAAAATGAAATGTAGAATTTGTTTTTTAGATGTTTTGTACTTTCTCATGAACTTTTGTATAGTTAAATAATTACCCGGTTCAGCTACAAAAACGTTTACCAAAGCAAATGATATCATAAAATAAAAAAAATTCATATTTATCTGTAAATATAATAATAAAAAATAAATTTTATTTTATTTTATACTCAATTATCATTTAAATGTAAGCTTTTAATGTAAAGCCGAGGGTCTACAATACATAAAGGTAATAACATATTAGTTAATTACATCTACTGCCCAAACTATCTTCTAGCGAGACAATCAATGTGTGATTTAGCAATTAAAAAAATACTATATAAATACAATAAAAAACATTTTCAAACATAGATCTAATAGACTTAAAAAATAACTTGCACCATCACTATCACGTTTGACAATCTGTTTAACATATTGATTTATAAAAAAGTTGAACATTGAATTTTTCCTATAGATTTTTGCCACATTGTGTACAAATTACCAAAGCATCCGATATTCAAATACCAAAAAAATTTAATTTTTATCTAAAAAAATAATAATTAACCTTAAATAAAGATTAAATTAGATCAGACTATTGGTTAATTATCAGCTCTGCTGCGGAGCTAAGATACTTCAACAAATTTTTTTTTTATTTCACATAACTTATGTTCCTGGATTTAAGATGTTTTCAAAACAGTTAACAGCGTAACTGTATTATGCGTACAATTTTTGTAATATAGACTTGCAATTTAATTAATTTTATTTGAGGGTAAAAAAGTTATGGTGAGCGGATTCAGAAATAAATAACTAATAAAACTAAACAAAATGTATAAAAAATGTACTTACAATTGCTTACTGTTGCCAAAAGTAAAATATTAAAATAATAGAAATTATAAGGAAAATACTTTAGATACTAAAGAGTGATTTTTTTGCCACTTTTGATTAGGTTTTTATGTCGACTGAAACAGTAAAATTGGAAGAAATTTCGATTAATGTCTAAGTTAATTTATCGACATAGCTGTTTTAGGTAAGATTTCATATTTACAATACACTGACGTGATTTCAGACTTTTTTCTGGGTTAGGTTAGGTTAGGTAAATAGCACTCGTAAAATATATGTTGGTGTTGTATGAAACGCATACAACATAGCATAATATATTATGTGGAATAATATAGTGAATTTATTACAAAATTATTGTACCTGTTATAAATCGTCATGGGAATATGTAGTAATAAAAATTAGTAAAATTTCCTAATGCTTTTGTACTTTCAGAAGCAATCTTTGTACTACCTAAAAATTAAAGAGATAATACAATTCAAACTTGGAAAATACATATTTGTGAAATCACAATATTTACAATTTATCGAAAGTTTAGTACATAAAATAAATTATCAAAACTACTAAACGTTATCCCAACAATTCTATATGTCATTAGAAATGTTTCTTCTTATCTTCCGACCGGATGAGCAAAAAAATCGTATTTGAAATGCCCAAAGAGAGAAAACCGAATTAAGTACAGTATAAATCAGTACACATAAGATGTTAGTTAAGTTGGGTCAAAGCAATTATTAAATCCTAATGTAATTTCATTACAATCAAACAGTTCGATGCCAATATGGAAATACACTAAAGGGCTAGCCAAATTAAACATTTTATTACCACTTATTAGCATTTTACGATGGCATTTTATTACCACCTCTTAAATAATGGTCTAGAAGAACAGAATAATGTACCTAATCTAGTTCTATACATTTTTGCACATGACAGAAGTTCCTATAAATGGTACCTAATCTTGTGACTCGTTGAGAAACTAACATAATAAGAAGTTAGTATATAATATAGTGGAACCACCATTTAATATTCAATGTTTTTTTGTAATACATTCGGTTTTAATAAATACAGTCTTGCTTTTTTATTATTATATGTATGTAGTGTTTATACAATCAACACATTTATTATTTGCCAGTCCGGCATTTTTTTCTCATGAACACCCATTTTGCTATCAAACGGATACAAAATTATATTAATTATGTTTTAATTTTTTAAGTTCCAATACGAACATACTATAGCCATTAAACAAATACGCAACTAAAAGCACACGTGTAAAAATTACAATCACGGAACACACTAAAAATAATTTTCCTATGTAATTTTTACACGTTTATTTTATTGAAAATTTAATATATTTGCTTGTATGATTATTCAAAACGGCAGTAGCAAAAATTATAATTAAATATCTTTGTGCAAAAACCCTATAATTTTATATCTATGCGAGAATATTATCAACCTATTATTTATTAAAAAAAAAAATCTTTAAAATTGTATTAGCAACCTAGAAATTGACTACAGACTTACAATCATGTAATTTTTCTATGATGACATAAAAATCAGCAGTAGAAATAAAACTATATTATTAGCATTAAGACTGAAAATATAATATCTTTACAAAGTCTTAGTTAACAATCAAATAGCTGAAAATTGAAACAATAATATATTTTAAAATTTAGTGCCCATAAATGTATGGAATTAAAAACATATTATGTTGCCATTTTAAAAATCGTGGTCTATACATCTATTACGTATAAGGGATGAAAGTAAAAATGTTCCAAGCATTAAAAAATAGAGTACAATTTATATTTAAAAGTATAAGGAGAAGAGTACTTAAAAACTACCTTACTTGTAAGAACATGTAATAAGTACAATACATAAGCAACAAATGTTTTTATAATTCAGATTAAAACTGTTTATTTTTAAAGACAACAAAATTTATTGACAATTTTTATATCAGAAGATGTGTAAAAAGGATTTAAAAAACAACAATATTATAGTACCCTAAAATAAGTTGTCCTTAAAGCTTCTGGTCAATTTGAGTTTACTTGATCAGACAGTAGATGACGTTGATTACCTTTATCATCCATTTCCCAAATCTCGCTTCCAAATTTTTTGTAATAGAATGCATTATTGTCTAAATCTTCTATAATACATTGTCCATTAGTTTGATTATTGAATTCAGCAAAATATACGAATGAAGTATATTCAATACCCTTGAACACTGATAATAACCGACACACATTGATAAAGTCTTTGAACTTTTCACTAAATTCTCCGCCTTAAACAAATGAAAAAAAATTACTAAATTTAGCTTATTTGTTGCTATATTTCTTTATGTTACTGTGGTAATAGTGAATGCATAGACTATGATTTGTATTGTATTTTAAAAATTATTTAAATATAATAATTAAATGATAATTTTTTTTATAAGTTAATTAAATTAGAACAATCGAAATTAATACAACTAGATTAATTGTATATAAAGAACAATAAAAAAATGCGATATGCATACTTACTTATTTCAGAACGAATTAAATCTTTTACAGCTTCACTAATTAATTTTCTTCTTGCGTCTCCCAAATCTGACAGGTTAGAGTTTTCTAATTGGCTTTTCATATCTATCAAAAAAAAAACAAAAATTAGTTGCTCGTGAGTTACATTTCAATTTTTAGATCTGTTATGTGTTTATTGTTTGTACAACCTACTGTTAGTGGGTAATAGTTACTTTTTGAGGAAAAATTTTAATTGTTTAACTTTTCCCCTTGAAAGTAGAGTAAACCCGTTAAAATTGTATTTTACTACATGACGTGCTTCTTTTTTTGACTAGAAAAATATTGAAAACTAATATCTAATTCGAAATCGACGACCCCCAAAAACATATAGTTTAACCAATTTCAAGGTCTTTGGCGTTAAATCCAAAAATGTTCCAAACCAAGAACAGAAAAAATTATTAACATGAGTTCCAGTGAGCGGTTATTGGGCTAGTTTATACTGTGGTTGAGTAGGTCTGTACTAATTTAGATTGTACTTGATTTGAAATATTCGTAAAATGCCTTGGTAACAAAACAAAAGCAACAAATGTAGACTAAAGAACAGCCTACTACAAGATTAAATTTTTGTTCACTCTGTTTAACTTTTACATTGACCAATTACAAAGTAAAGCCTAAAAAAAAAGTGTATGGTTGTAATTTTACCTTCGTCTAATACAGTAATTACATCTATATCTGCAACCAAAATATATCAAATTATTATACCGTTAAAAAATATAGTTTTTTTAGTTTTACTGTACAAAATGAGTCATCTTAGAATTGAGAATATTTAGACAAATAAATCAATATAAAATGTTCAAAAATCTGCTGGTAGGAATTAAGGGCTTTTACTAAGTTTTAGTCGACCATCAAAACCGTATGCAAACAATATGTAGGATTATAAACTCTAATTGAATATTTATTGTAATTAGATAAAATTGAATAATTATCCAATTTAATAGTTGTTCGATTAAAAAGAGTTTAGTTTTATAATTACCCGTTGTATAAGTTATCATGTCTTGCAAAAAAATCTGATACACTAATTTGTCTAAAATGTAAAACAAATATATTTTAATGTACAACATTCATTACGATAGAAATTAATTGTGTGTAAGCGTTTGATTGTTCTCAATATAACATATAGTATATTATATATTAATAATTTAATACTAAATATTTACCATATTTTGTGTCTATTTCTTTTTCGGTATCTGAAATTATAATAAAGTTATTGTATACTTCATGAATATCAAATATTTCGGTAAGTAGAAAAATATCCAAAAAAATGTTACCCGGTGATGTTAACATTAAACTTATATCCCCTGAAATTAACATAATATAAATGTTTTATTTAATGACATTAATTTTTATATTCTGTTATAAATTCTAATAAGGAATGCAAATAATATGTTTTTTTTTATTGATTAAAGTAAACTTTATGCATGGGCTATGGCACTAAAATGAGTAAGTTGAAGTGAATGTGGCGGTTAGAATGAAATATAATGATTAGGTGAGGTTAAATGAAGTAAATCCAGCGTTTTTTGTCAAAAAACGTATTATAAAAATTATAGCATTGATAAACTTGCAACGAGATAATTTGTTGCTTGATAGCTGTTATTATTATTTTATATACTATACAATTTTTATTACTTGTCATATATTTTCCAAGAACAACGTCTTTAATCACTGCCGGCAATTGAGCTAAAATAAACAAATAATGCATTGAGTTATAACTTATATATATATATACAGTATTCCTTTTCGCCTATTTTATCTTTAGTATTAACTATTAAATATTTTTATTTATTTATTTTTGATCCAACAAAAGTTATTAAAAAAATTTGTAAAATGTATCCTAATTTTTGTTGAACAAATTGAGTTGGTTATTTTCTTCATCCCCTTCACTTATCTCCCTGTCCAAACTTCTCTTGTCTTCTCGTGTTTATTAACTAACTTAAAAATCAGATCTACATCACACCTATTAAATTTAGTTATTTCGATTTTTAGGATCATTCAGCAGTATTTTGTCGGCTTAGTCAATATTCTTATGTTGAAAAATTATTTTTAAAAAAGATACATAATTTAAATTATTAAATGTAATTGTATGTAATGTAATTATTAATTGTAATAGGTTGTTGGTCCATAATCGTAATCATCGTTTTTTTATTGTTATTTTATTTCAAAAAAATGTTTCATATGAAATCTTAATTATTAAAGAAAACCTTTAGAATAAGAGTATATAACATGCAGTTACCTCTACACTGAACACTACTCATCTTGTTATGTTTAATAGTCACTGCCTAGAGTGAATTATGAGTGAATAGTAATTAAATTATAGAAAGCCCTTCTTTAAGTATAAAAATCATCCCACTCAATTTTAATTTGAACAGATTATAATAACTAAAATTTATAATTTAAAAACCATTTTATATTTTCACACTAACTTATTAACAACATTTTATTTTAGTATTTCAATTTTAGTTATATTTTACCTTCTGCCTGCTTCAAATGTAGGTCTGTAAATAAATTTTAAAAATATAGTAAAACTTAAAAAAATTATTCAATAAGTAAAAAAAAAAATCTTTACTGACTTGCTTTGAAAACCTCCGTAGTGTACCGATCTACAAAAAAAAAGGAATTGTTGAATTTGTTTTTTAAATTTGTACTTTCTTGTATACGTTTGTATAATAATTAAATAATTACCCGCTTCAGCTATACAAACGTTTACCAAAGCAAATGATATCATAACATTTACAAATATCATTTTTATCTGCAAATTATAATTAACAATAATTTTTGTTTTATTTCATACTGCTTTATGCAAAGCTGAGGTTCTACAATAGAAATAATATCATCGAAGGTAATTACATCTAATGCCCAAAGTCACTTAGGACGATTAATATCATATTCAGGAAAAACAATAAGTATCTCTTAGTGAAACAATCAATGTGATTTAGCAATATTACAAAAAACAACTAAATAAATACAAAAAAACCCATATAAAACATAGAACTGTTAGACCTAAAAAAATAACGTGCACTAACAGGTTGGAAAATATGCTTAAAATTTGCACAGACACTCATCTCAGATGACAATACAATATCCGGTGGTAATATTGGAATTTGGAAATATGTGGGGGTCGTTTCACTAAAATGCCAGGTTTTTTTTTCAAATCTTCCAAAATGAAGTTAGTAATCTATTCTCCAATAATACCTATAGTACCAATAGTGCCTTTATTTAAACCTTAAAAGTAAAAAGAAAATAAATAAATAAAAAAAAAAACTTTATTATAAATATGCTTTTCTAAAAAATAGTAAAAAAGTGAACTAAAAAGTAAAAAATAATTTTACTATAAGAAAAATTTACCAATCAATTGTAGCACATTTTTGTTGAAAATGTCTACTTTGAAAACAACCGAAAATTAACTACAGTTTTAAATAATGTTAAACTTCTTTTTTAATTTTTGCCTAAAAAGAAGAGCGTGGGCCCTGTACAACAAAGTCGCTCATAAATTTATCAGATAATGTTTTATATTTTAAGTTAATTAATTTTGTTTCGCGGGTATAAAGTTATGATGAGAAGTTTTTGAGAAATAACCAACTAATAAACTTATCAAAGTGTACAAAAAATATACTTACAATCGTGGAAATTCTTTACTGATATCAAAAGTAAAATGTTAAAATGTTAATGAATTTATAAGCAAAATACTGTTAAAACTTTTAAAAAGTGATTTTTTTGGTAAGTTTTCAATAGGATTTTATGTCGACTGAAACAGTAAAATTGGAACGAATTTCGATGGGTGCCTATGTTAATTTATTGACATAGCTGTTTTAGGTAAGATTTGATACATGTATACTATATATTCGTCAGCAGTTCAGACTTCTTTTTTAGTATTTTTTTGTAATAAACTAGAAAAACTATTAAACGTTATTCTGTACGTCATTTAAACCGTTCACGCCAATGAAATGATTAGAATATTAATAATTAATACATTTGTTACGCTATAGTGAAATTAATCATGATAAACAAGTTACCTTTATGGGATGACTGAGATGTGGGTGTTGTCCTTGCTGGTACTAGGGCGACGGCCCGTAAAATCTGTGTTCAACACTTCCCACGTCAACCCTAAGAATTGTCGGAGGTCTTTCACTTTACTAAGATTTCGGAAAAACCAAATTTTACACGAAGCGATTGGCGGTTTTCTTTTCTGATCGGTTGGAGTGTCGTTCGGGCAGCCAATTCTTGGCGGGACTGCACAAGCGCGGTAGATTCATAAGAAAACCAACGCGCTGTAATATTATAATATTGCGGGCTCGACGATTGCACGTGTGTGATTGGTTCACATAGTTGTTAGAAAATATTACAACGGTTCAAAACTGAATTGAAGAGACAATACCGAGTGGAATGTACGCGCACTTTAAATGCATCGTGCACAAACACTTGTTGGGAACGTGCATTCAAACCGAGACAGCCAGACGACCAGGCATCCCTGCGCCCAACGGTCACGGTCAAAATAATGTTTTTATTGATCCCGTTTAACCCGTATAGTGAACTAGCAAAGCCGGTACAGCGGTGCCGTGGCACGTGGAGACGGGGTGATCGGAGGTCTACAGGAATTATTATAACCGAGAGCGATAAAAGGTTGACTGCAGACTTATGAGAAAACTGTACACGTTATAGTTCCATTCTTGAATCTTGATCTACATTTGGTCTACGTTTCAGGCCTAAATCCCCAGGACTGCTTTAAAAAGGGAAATAAAGAAAAAAAATAGTTTAAGAATTTCTAATAAGCGTTTTAATTTGTTTATTGTTGGGAATTTTTGCCAGTAAAGTGCTGCACAGTATAAATGTTGTCTAATACTTATATATTCACATGCACTTTGAGAGTATAACTGTTATGGACAATTAATGTCGTTAATGGCATTTTTAAAAGTTGTAAAATTGGGCCTTTGCCCTTTATCAACTAAAACTGATAGCTAATATTTATTTAATAAAAAAAAAAAGAACGTTTTTTCTCTGTATGATATGTAAAATGTATTAATAATATCCTATAAAAAAAAAGTGCCGTACAGAAAACAAAAGTGGTTATTAAAATATTTTACTTTTACTTTTTTTTTTAGGTAAAATTGTACTTTTGTTTAAAAAAAAACTTTTATTATAACCCTTTTTCTAGTGAAATTAAATTATGTTTTTTTATTACAGTATAAGCAGTTATTACAGTTTATTGCGTTATGCGTACAAAGCCAATAATAATTCTACCACAGTATCAAATAAAAAGAAGACATTTTTATAAAAAAAACGCAGTGTCTCGATTTTGAACACAACAAAAGTGAAAAGGTGCAACGACATCAGTTTTTATTGCATTCCACCCCTTCACAAGGTACTGGGAGGATTATTGATTAATGTGCATTATGTCCGCCAGACGACCGGGAAGTCCCGCCCACCGGTCCAGGGTAACGTTTAAACTGTGCAAAATCTATCATTGTGTTGTATATTGCATATTGTGCAGTTTGCAGCCCTTTGGGTTGGTCGTTTACATGTTTTGTATAATATTATGTTGAACTTATGTTCAGAAATAATCAATATGTATATAATATGTCGTTGCATTTTCCAGTGTACTACTATCAATCTCGATCCGTACACTCTATATTATTTTAAATCGCTATAAAGATTAAGTGACTTTTGAGCAATATTGTAGCCGGAGGAACGTCGGATTGGAAATTAGTAAAAAAATCTCCGAACAAACCGACACCGGTTGTCAGATTCCAGGTAAATTTTAAACATAATACAACCTACTGTGTATTGTTATTAAGTATTAACAAATTGTAGATCATATAACTTATTGATGAATTACCTTAGCTTACAAAGATGTTGTTTTTATTTTGCTGCCCACGATGTCATCTAAGCCGCTTGACCGATTTCTTAGTGTTGCTACTCTATTGACCAGAAATGGTATACAATTTTCTTAAAAATAACTGTAGCCAAACTTCTTTTTTATTGAGGGAAATGCAAAAAAAAAATATATATATATAAATTGGCCTCTAGCACTGCCAATTTGTTTCTTTTATTGTACACATATCAAGCAAAAATATATTATTGGTATTGGTGTTTTTAATGAACCCCAACACAGCAACGCAGCTTGCAATTCCCCTCTCCCTCTACCCGTCCATTGTCACAAAGGGTCTTTGTCGCCGCTCTCCTGGCCGTTGTTCTCTCTTCCCGTGACTGCAGGGCAAAAAAAGAATCAAAAACCATAACAATATTATGTTTCTTTGTTTAAATGTACCTTGTGCATTGGCCAATGGACGCATTTTAACCCTGTAACGTACCCTCTAGGCCCAAAATATAAGGAAGAATGCGGGGCCATAACATATAGAGTTTTTTTTTAAAAATCTATAATAAACATTTTTTTTTATGAAGGAAACCTTCATCCAAAAAAGGGGGGAAATTACACTTTGACCGGAGTCAATTTCTAGGTAACCATATTTTGTGTGAGTGAATCAACAGTGAACAGGTATTTGAAAATATTTGTTCAGTTGTATTATAACCATATAGACCTGTGACCTCCCCGTCGCAATATTCTCTGTCCCTAATATGTCCCGGCCAAACTGTACTGGCTTTTTATTTTTAGTTTTAATTGAGTAAAAAGATAAGTATATTTCGTAAAATAGTTATATCGTAATAATAAAATATGTTTTTATACATTAGTTGAAGAGTAGCCAATATATTATAGTGTTTAGCAGTATTGATAAAAGTTGTGCTAATATTATATTTATTATAATATAATAGAAAATCATGCTCACAGGGCACGTATCGTGTGGCTTGAAAAACGTTAGGCTTCTTATAATTTATATTATGTAGCCATAAATTTTAGAAATATAACTCAAGTTGTGTAAACATTTGAACGTGTCGATGACATACTATGCAAGGCGGATCTACAGGGTAATAAATTATCCAAAATTGGCTATCGACCAGTCAACATCTTCAGCAAATTATTCTTAAATCGAGTGAAGTAAATAAATGATTTATCTTACTATTAAAGTTCTAAACGTGGTCAGAGCTCTGGAAAATGCCATTTTAAATTCGCTATTCTTGGTTTTGTGTATATTTATTGTTATACTATGATATACAGTGGCGCCGAAGTCTATAATTATATGTATGGCGAGTCACCTAACCACCTACCCACTCACCCTTCCATCTACAGAAAATATAGAACATTTTCTACTAAATATAAACAACTTATTCCATAGGTATGCGGTATACCTACTAATTAGTTATCACTATTACAATCTGTTATTACTATTTACCACGATTTAAGATAATATGGTTTTTACTATACTGTACGGGGTACCTATTCCCAAAAGAAAATTGTATATGTATGGCGACCGCATGCATGAACATGGACTTCGGCGCCACTGATGATATAACAGAACACAAAGCATAAAATTAATAACAAAATAGTTTTTTTTATAAAACGTCACAATTGTTAATGCTCACAATCAGTGTGCCGGTGACCGCTCGTCGCGTTTAGTGGACAGTCTCCACTATATATGTATGTTTATAATATCTAATAACGTTAATACATACATAACACCTTTTCCTTATAAAACCTAGAAATACAATTTGTATTAATAATGATAAATACTTTATGAATATAATATATATATCAATAAACTAGTACTGTTTGAATATTTTAGATAAGAATATTAAATTATGGTTGACCGTTCATAGTAAAATTACTAATTTATCAAAAAAAGTAAATATTTACAAAAGCAAGGAGAGAAACGCTAAATCGGTTTTTTGCCCTAACATGTTTGGGAGACTTTTGTGTAGAAGTATTGCTGACCGGTACATTTAATTCTATGTTGGTTATTTTATTATTTTTGCATACAGCAGATAGTGCATACAGCAGTGATCTGTATGTTTTGTTATAGGGCCAATGATATACCTTACTATTAAAAATTCTAAAAGTTAACAGCGCTCTGAAAAATACTATCTTAAATTCGATTTTCAGGCTTTGTGTATATTAATATTGCATAATAAATTAAAAAAATATATGTACCTATATATTTTACCTATGTACCTTTAATCAATAAAATCGGGGGGGGGGGGGGGAACTGCAATATATCTTTTAAACTTTTTATTTGAATGGCACGATATTGTTTGTTCCAGTGCAGTACCCGAAAATAACATTAAAACAAATATACAAAACAGATCAAATGGCACAAACTGTAACCAACCAATGTTCAAACGTTCTTCAGACATTCCTATGCGATTTGTGTAAAAAAAGTTTTTATACCAAAAAGCAAATTCGCCGTCATATGATTACCATCCACAAAACTGTAACGGCGAATCGTTTACTAGGAAAACACAAGTGTGGCGTTTGTTTAAAATCTCTTACCAGGAAATCTAGTCTGGTAATACACGAACGCATACACACTGGCGAGAAGCCATACAAATGTGACGTTTGTTCAAAATCATTTAAGGCGAGATCCAGTCAGATGCGGCACGTAAGCATACACACTGGCGAGAAGCCTTACAAATGTGAAGTGTGCCTAAGGTATTTTGCATTAAGTTCTCACCTTATCCAACACAAACGTGGCCATATCGGAGAAAAGTGTGCTAAGTGCTTAAAAATTGTGTCCCTAAAAGACTACCTGGCTGGGCACAAATGTACCCTTACTGAAAAGAAGACATACAAATGTGTTTTGTGTCCAAAACAATACACTCGAAAACATAACCTTACAATACACGAACGAGTGCATACTGGAGAAAAGCCTTACACGTGTGCGGTGTGCGGGAAATCTTTTTCGTCAATATGCATTTTGGTAAACCACGAAAGTGTGCACACCGGCGAGAAGCCCTACACTTGTGACGTGTGTTTCAAGAGTTTTAGTTTAAAAAACAGGCTTGGGTTACACAAACGTGTCCATACCGGCGAAAAGCCCTATAAATGTGTTGTGTGCCTAAAATCGTTTTCGGTAAAATCCAGTCTGGCATCACACATACGCCTGCATACTGGTAAAAAACCCTACAAATGTGTTGTGTGCCTGAAATTGTTTGCGTTTAAATCCAGTCTGGTATTCCACGTACGAACGCACACCAATGAAAAGCCTCACAAATGTGCCGTTTGTTCAAAATCATTTTGGGCGAATTTCTATCTGATGCAACACGTACGCATACACACTGGCGAGAAGCCATACAAATGTGACGCTTGTTCAAAATCATTTAGGACGAAATCCGGTCTGATGCGGCACGTAAGCTTACACACTGGCGAGAAGTCATATAAATGTGACGTGTGTCTAAAGTGTTTTAGACAATATTCAAACCTTATCCAACACAAACTTGTTCATACTGATGAAAAGCCTTACAAATGTGCCGTTTGTTCAAAATCATTTAAGGTGAAATTCTGTCTGATACAACACGTAAGCTTACACACTGGCGAGAAGTCATATAAATGTGACGTGTGTCTAAAGTGTTTTAGACAATATTCAAACCTTATCCAACACAAACTTGTTCATACTGATGAAAAGCCTTACAAATGTGACGTTTGTCCAAAATCATTTAAGGCGAGATCCGGTCTGTCGCGGCACGTAAGCATACACACTGGCGAGAAGCCTTACAAATGTGACGTGTGTCTACAGTATTTCACACAAAGTTCTCACCTTATCCAACACAAACGTGTCCATATCGGAGAAAAGTGTACCGAGTGCTTAAAATATTTGTCCCTAAAAGACTACCTGGCTGGACACAAATGTACAAATGTTTTGTATACCGAGTCGTTCAATAGAAATTCTTACCTTGCAAAACACAAACATATCCATACAAACGAAAGGCCTTATGAATGTGACGTGTGTTTAAAATCTTTTTCAACGAAAGCGTCCTTTAATACACACAAACGGGTTCATAACCCAGAGAAGCCATACAGGTGTAGTGTATGCTCTAAATCGTTTTCAGAGAAATCCTACCTCATTGGACATGAAAACATACACTATTAAGTTTGCGACGTGCGCCTAAAACCTATTGCGGTGATATCCTACCTCGCAGAAAGCCATAAACACGGATTGCCTTGCGAATGCAAAGTGCGCTTCAAGTGTTTTGCCCAAAAATTCAACCCGGCACGACAATAACGTGTCTATGTTGAAGAATAGTTAGATCTCTCTCAGTCATCAGTCTTTACCTATATTTTAAAATTAACATTTTTTTGTCTATGTGTTTTTCAGTATTTTATACATGTAAAAAAACATATTTTAGACATTTAATATTTTTTGTTGTACATTTTTCTGAATTCCTACATTTTGTTTGTTTAATACATTATATTAAATAATGTTATATTTTTAAGTTTGGTTCATTTAATGCAATTGTATACATGGTTTTGTTTTATTTACACAATATTGTATCACATATTAGAAATTTATAATTTATACTCTAGCACCGACGCACTTCATTGTGCGAAACATGGAGCCATACATATAATATTTTTTTTCAACGTTTTAAAAAATGACTTGATATGAAGTATAAACCTATATTATATGATTGTTTTTAGAATTTTTTTTCATTATAGTTTTAGACTATTTATATTCGGAACTAAAGAAACTTGTCTTTTGTGTTGTATATGCTATAAAAATACACACAATTTCAACATATTGTGTGCTAAAATTTTACATTTCCTCTCGTTTTCGAACCTAAAAGTTTTGATTGAAGATATTTAATAAATTGATGCTTATTAAAAATATAAGTATTAGACGTTATCCTAAGTATGAAGATGAGTATGCTCTAAAACGATAAATCTGTACTTTGGAACGCAATAAGGCTAATGTCGACATTAAGTAGAAATAAAACTATATTAGCATTAAGACTGAAAATATAATATCCTTACAAAGTCTTAGTTAACGACCAGAAAGATGAAAATTGAAATAATAACAAATTTTAAAATTTAGTGCCCATAAATTTATGGAATTAAAAACATATTATGTTGCCATTTTAAAAATCGTGGTCTATACATCTATTACGTATAAGGGATGAAAGTAAAAATGTTCCAAGCATTAAAAAATAGAGTACAATTTATATTTAAAAGTATAAGGAGAAGAGTACTTAAAAACTACCTTACTTGTAAGAACATGTAATAAGTACAATACATAAGCAACAAATGTTTTTATAATTCAGATTAAAACTGTTTATTTTTAAAGACAACAAAATTTATTGACAATTTTTATAACAGAAGATGTGTAAAAAGGATTTATAAATAACAATATTAAAGTACCCTAAAATAAGTTGTCCTTAAAGCTTCTGGTCAATTTGAGTTTACTTGATCAGACAGTAGATGACGTTGATTACCTTTATCATCCATTTCCCAAATCTCGCTTCCAAATTTTTTGTAATAGAATGCATTATTGTCTAAATCTTCTATAATACATTGTCCATTAGTTTGATTATTGAATTCAGCAAAATATACGAATGAAGTATATTCAATACCCTTGAACACTGATAATAACCGACACACATTGATAAAGTCTTTGAACTTTTCACTAAATTCTCCGCCTTAAACAAATGAAAAAAAATTACTAAATTTAATTTATTTGTTGCTATATTTCTTTATGTTACTGTGGTAATAGTGAATGTATAGACTATGATTTGTATTGTATTTTAAAAATTATTTAAATATAATAATTAAATGATAATTTTTTTTATAAGTTAATTAAATTAGAACAATCGAAATAATACAATTAGAGATTAGTTGTGTACACATTTGTAAAAATAGTTATATAAAAAAAGCGATATGCATACTTACTTAGTATAGAACGAATTAAATCTTTTACAGCTTCACTAGTCAATTTTCTTCTTGCATATCCCAAATCTGATAGGTTCGAGTTTTCTAATTGGGCTTTCATTTCTAACAAATAAAAAACACAAAAATTAGTTGCTCGTGAGTTGTTTTACATTTTTTAGATCTGTCTAACTAACAGTGCTACGGGTTTGGCGAACCCAGGGCCTTGAGGTCTGAACTGAACTAACTTTAATTAGTTGGTTCAGTTCTTCTACTCTGACCTTAATTGGTTGGAGTAGTCTGGTCCTCCAGGTTGGGGGTTTAGCGCAGGGCTAACGACCCTGCCTAGAAAAAATATATTGTTCAGAAACTAATAAACATGCCTAGGATACGTGGAGCTTTGGATAATAAGACTGGAAATTGGAAAAATGGCTTATTGTTTGGGACATAGAACGTACGTACTATTTTCAAACCTGGAGCGGCCCAAATCATTGTTAAATAAATTGAGAAGTACATGAAATTAGATGGGGTGTTACTGGAACATTAGATATTTAAGAAACAACAATACTTTTCGTTACATTTTTTAGATTTGTCATGTTTCCTTTTTGACATTTTAATGTCTTAGCTCTGGCACATAACCGAAAAAAGCGTTATCAAAAAAGCGTAACGAAAAAAGAGATGGGGTTGAAGATGAAGTTGGGATTGGAATGCGGTTGGGGTTGGTGGTGGGAATTAGCTGTGGTGCATAACCGAAAAAAAGCGTAACGAAAAAAGCATAACGAAAAAAGTGTTACCAAAAAAATGTGACGCTGTTATCTGATATGAGATAAGAGATATGTTGTACGTTCAACGTTCAAATAGAACTAAATAATAAATTCAAAATAGTTTAATTCTCTATGTTAAGTTACTTTTGGCCAGATAATAAACACTACAATTTTAGCCAGAAACATGATTTAGCCACCTTAGATACTAGCTTGTTACTGCTTGTTAATATACTATTTCATTATCTATAATTCCACCACTACTCTAAATTTTTTCGGTATTTCAACGAGATATGAAAATGCTCTTTCGTGGTTGCAGACTCGGCTGAAAAATGGCTATTTTTTTTTTGTTCAGCCTACCATTAGAGCCTAAAAGATACTTTTCGAGAAAAAAATTAAAAAAATTAATTATATTATATTATTATTATATTATTATTATGTTTCCCCTTGAAAGTTGAGTAAAACCGTTAAAATTATGTTTTACAATGATATGCCTTATTTTGACTAGAAGAAAATTAAAAACTAATATATAATTCGAAATCAGCTACCCCCAAAAACATATAGTTTGCCCAATTTTTAAGCCATTCGCATTAAAATCCAGAAAAGTAAATAAGCTTTGGCGGTCCAAACCAAGCACAGATAAACATTATCAGCGTGAGGTTTAGTGTGATGTTATTGGGCTGTTTTGTATTGTGGTTGGATTGGACTGAACTAATCTAGCATGTACTTGATTTGAATAATTCGTAATATGTCTTGGTAACAAGACAAAAGCATAAAAATATGTGAACTAAAGAACAGCTTTCTACAAGATTCTATTCTTGTTCCCTCTGGTCAACTTAAACATTGGCCAATTATCAAGAAAACCCTATGAAAAAACTAGTACAGTGGGGTCGGGGCATAGTGGGAACAGCTTTACAGGGATTTTTAAATCTGAAAGTGATAAAATTACTTTCGAAAAAACGCTGTTGTACTAAATATATTTTACCATGCTAAAGTAACCAACCAGATAAAATATGTGATTAATAGAGTTGCTACTCAAAAGAATTGTTTCATTATTAAAAATTTTACAGTGTATACAGACAAAAAAAAGCCCACATCGTGGTAGAATAAATACCTTCGATTTGCATCGAAGCGTAAATAAATATGGTTGTAATTTTACCATCGTCTAATACAGTAATCACTTCTATACCTGCAACCAAAATATAAATATTTATCAAATTCCTATAGGGTTAGGTTAGGTTAAAAAAATATAGATTTTTGGTTTCATTGTACTAGTCAGTATTTTTTAGTCGGCCATCAAAATTTATGCAAAAAATATGTAGAATTATGAACTCTAATTAAATATCTAACATTTTTAAATGAAACAATTTCATAATTGTTCGTATTAAAAAGTTGACTTTTATATTTACCCGTTGTACGAGTTACCATGTCTTGCAAAAAAATCTGGTACACTATTTTGTCTAAAATTTAAAACAAATACATTTTAATGTACAACATTAATTACGATAGAAATTTTATATAAGTATTTGATTATACTCAATATAATGTATAGTATTTTATATATAAATAATTTACTACTAAATATGTACCGTATTTTGTGTTTACGTTTTTTTCGGTATCTGAAATTGTAATAAAGATATTTTATACTTCATCAATATCAAATAACTAGGTATGTAGAAATATTTAAAAACAAATTATTACCCGGCGATGCTAACATTAAACTTATATCTTCTGAAATTAACATAAAATAAATGTTTTATTTAATGAAATTGGATTTAATTTTTTATTCTATTATAACTAATAAAAAAGATGACAAAAATTATGTTTTATGAATTCGGAAAAAATAAAGATGTTATCTTTGAAAGTTTGGTCAAAGGATTTATTATATCTGAATGTGATTTCATTACAATCAAACGTCGTATAGATGTCAAAAATTATATTAAAATATCTGTGTGCAAAAATCCTAAATTTGTATATCTGTGTGAGAATATTGTCAACCTACTATTTATTAGAACCTTCGAATTTCAATATATCAATTTTCAATAACTCTAAAAAGGAAAATTTATTTTGTATAACACCAATCCGAATTTTTATTTATTCACACTGATTTACAGGAGAATAAGAAATTAAATTAATGTGTAATTTTATTTGTCCAAACAAAAGTATGCACTTATGCGATTAAAACCACCGTTTTAGGGTTATTTTTCTACTTTTAGAACTCCATTTAGATAATGTTATCTCTTACACTAAATATCTAAATAATAACTTTTTTTTTTTTTAATTATAATATGGGCTACGACTTCAGAGGTCATTAGCCATAAATTTACAATGTTGTTTATATAATAATTGTTAGGATGAATTAGAATAAATATATATTAAAAAATATATGTATATTGAACCTGTCACTCGCATTGGCAAAGACATTTAATAAGGTTAGAAAAATGAGGGAAGGAATCAGTAGTAAAAAATAAAGCCTTATTATTAGCCATACGACTGAAAATGTTTCAAAAAAAAAATCCCAGGAACGAAAGGGTTAAAACTATTCTATAAAAAAAAATCTTTACTGGCTTGCACTGAAAACCTCCGTAGTTTATCGTTCTACAAAAAAAAAAATGAAATGTTGAATTGGTCTTTTTGATTTGTACTTTCTTTGTACGTTTGTATAATAATTAAATAATCACCTACAAATTTCATTTATACCTGCAAATGATAATAAAAAATAATATTTATTTTATTTTAGACTCATTTATCATTTATATATCAGCTGAGATATAAATCTGTAAAATTATAAAGTTATAAAGATGAAGTCTTAAGATATATATATATATATAATAACATATCAAAATCTACTGGATTTCAGATATTTTTAAAACATTTGAATTTAAAAAATATAAAAATAACCAAAAACTCCAAAAAAAAAACATTAACAATAATAACATTTTCACCTTTAAATAATAACTTCAAATAAAGTAAAAATCTAATTTTTTTTCAGGGAGTTGGATTTTATCAATCGTTTTTAGACTACTTTTGATCTTGGTTCTGAAAATAATTATCTGGAGTTGTCCATGTAAATAATTTTTAGAAAATCTGTTTTGGAGCCTTTTTTTTATAATTTTATTCAGCTTTGATGTTTGAATCGGTTTTAAAAAGTGTTTTTTTTTAAACTTATATATATATTTTTTTTCACATTTGTGTGTATAAAAAGATCAATTATTATAGTTTTCACTTTTCGAAATAATTTGTATTTAGTAGTTTTTATGGAATCACAATTATTATTCCAATCGACAAGACGAATACTTTTTAGAAATATATTTATTTATCAACTCAATCATAGTGCTAAACTTTCAAAAAGTGTTTTTTTTATGGGTACCTATTTACATAGGTCTTTTAGGTAAAAATGTCATATTTACATTACACTGGCGTCAGTTCAGACTATTTTCTTGGTAGTTATTGATTTTCATATCACTCGTAAAATGTACGTTGGTTTTATATGCGTTTGAGCATAACATATTATCATTGTACTTGCTATTCTGTCGAAAAATATCTTAATACACATAATATAACGAATTTATTTTGTTTCTTTTTCTGGAACGGCCTAAAATTTCGTCTGATGTAACTTTAAACGTTTTTTCCACGACTAAAACTTACTTTTTATGTTATAATTGTACTGGTCCTATACTATTTTTGTTTGAAATAAACTGTATCGTCATGGGATTATTAATTAATAACTGTTAAAAAAGTCCAAAAGCGCTTAATTTTTTGTATTTCCGGAATTAATCTTTTTACAACTTAAAAATAAAGAAATAATATATTTCGAAATTGGAGGACACCAACTTTGAGATACATATTTTGTGTTTTTAAAACTACCTCCTAATCGTTGGTCTAGAAGAACTGCTTAGTGTACCTAATCTAGTTGTATATAATTTAGCCTATGACAAAAGTTTCTATAAATAGGTACCTAATCTTATGGCTCGTTAATAAGCCAACATAATAAGACCTTAGTGTAATATAGTGGAACCATTACTTTATATGAAATGTGTTTTGTATGATATTTGGTTTTAATAAATTATGTTAATGAGTCTAGATTTTTTTTCTTCTATTTGTAAGTATTACTCATACGTGTTCATTTATTATTTGTCAGTACGGCAATTTTTTTTTCCTAACAATTTTGACTAAGTCGTTACAGTTTAAAACGTTTTCGATTGTGGGACACTTGTACACACAAAAAATATTTCACCTTGGTTTTCGAGATCGCAGAAAACAACCGAGAAATGTATATATTTTTAACTTGAAGCAATTCTTATGGGCCTGTGATCCCCCCCCCCCCAATAGGCTCCGTCACCACTGTACTAAATCTTTATATAATAATAATTAAGCTTTATTATATTCAGAAAATATATAAACAACGAAACCGTCAGTCGCATTGGCAAAGAGATTTAATAAGGTTAGGAAAATAGGGAAGGAATCGGAAGTAGAAATAAAGCTGTATTATAGGCCATACGACTGAAAATATAATATCTTTACAAAGTCTTAGCTAACCGAACAGATGGATGAAAATTAAAAATTCAAACGATAATATATTTTAACATCTTTTGTCTACAAATGTATGGAATTTAAAACATATTATATAGCCATTTGAAAAATCGTAGTCCATACATTTATTACATATAAGGAATAAAGTACGAAATGTTTCAAATATTAAAAAATGTAGTAGAATATGTACCTAAAAAATATGGAGAAAAAATATTAAAAATATTAAAATCTTCTGGAAAATACGTGATCGGTAATGCATCAAGCTGTATTATAAAATCTAGCTTGCAAAATATTGTGCTTATACTTAAAAACTACCTTACTTGTAAGAACATTTAATAAATACAATACATAAGTAAAAAACGTTTTTATAATCGAGATTAAAACTGTTTATTTTTAATACATTACGTTTATTGACAATTTTTATATTAGAAGATGTGCAAAAATGGTTTAAAAATATAACAATAATATAGTACCCTAAAATAAGTTGTCCTTATATATTCTGGTTAATTTTGTTTTACTTGATATTAAAAGATGTGCAAAAATGATTCATGCATAACAATAATATAGTACCATAAAATAAGTTATCCTTATAACTTCTGGTCACTTTTAGTTTACTTGATCAGCGAGTAGATAAAGTTGATTAGGTTGATTTTCTTCTTCATCGACTTCCCAAATCTCGTTCTCAATTGTTTTATAATAGTATGCTCTACGGTCGAAATGAGCTATAATACATCTTCTGTTAGTTTCTTCACAGAATTCAGACATTTCTACGGCTGAAGTTGGGTGTTCAATAGCTTTTAACACTGCTATTAAACGACACACATCGACAAAGTTTGCAAACTCCTCTCTAAATTGTCTTCCTTAAACAAATAAAAAAGAAAAACTTTTTTTACAAAGGTGTGTGCAATTGGAAAAAAAACTAGTGTTTGTTTTATAATTTATTTGATTAGGAATGGTTAAGGATAATTTGTATTATAAAAAGCAGTGTCGTCATTGTGAAAAAGTTCTACAGTTCTGAGTGTAGTCTTAACGATACTAATGATTGTATTTTATAGGGAAAGTATAGTTTAATATCTTTATTATAAAAAAAAAATTATATACTTTCCGCGAGAGTGTACCTTAATAATTATAACTTGTATTTTGATTATTATTTAAATTAAGTTAAAAAAACTAGAACGATTGAAATTAAACTATTTAGAGACTAGTTGTGTACAAATTTGTAAACAAATTACATATAAAATAATAAAAAAATTCGAAATGCATACTTACTTATTATTAAACGGATTAAATGTTTTACAGGTTCAATAATTAATTTTCGTCTTGCTATTGCCAAATCTCTCAGATTAGTTTCTTCTAATTGGTTTTTCATATCTAAAAAAATAAAAATAAATGATTGCTCGTGAGTTGCATTACATTTATTAGATAACCCATTTATTTTACAACCTACCATTAGTGCCTAATAGGTACTTTTTGAGGAAAATTTTTAAATATTGTTCTCTTCCCCTTCAAAATGGAGTAAACTCGCAACAAATTACTTTTTAAATGATGTGCTTCCATATTGACTGGATAAAAATGAAAAACGAATAAATAATTCAAAATAAGCGACCCCCAAAAACACAGTATCACCAATTTCAAAGTCTTTTTCACTAAAATCCAGAAAAGTGTTCGAGGATGTTTATACAACTAAACCAAACACAGTAAAAAATTATCAACGTGAGGTGTAGTGTGCTGTTATTTGGCTGGTTTATACTACAATTGAGTTGGACTGTACTAGTATATACTGTACATAGTTTGAATAATTCGTATTATGCCTTGGTAACTTGAAAAAAGCATCAAATGTCACCTTAAAAAAAGCCTACCACAAGATTCAATTCTTGTTTCCTCTGTTTAACTTATACATTGGCTATTTACAAATGCTCTAAAAAACGAATATATAATTGTTACTTTACCGTCGTTTAACACAGTTATCGCAGGTATACCTGTAACCAAAATATATCAAATATTACTATATGGTTGAAAAAATGTTGATCATTTTATATTTCACTACAACAGACATCTTGAATTGAGAATGTTAAGACAAATAATTCAATGCAAAATATTTTGAAAATTGCTTGTAGGAATAAACCAATTTAGCAGCTTTAACTAATTTTTTAACGATCATCAAAACCTTATTACATTTTTGTATTTACCCGTTGAACGAGTTATCATATCTTGCAAAAAAATCTGGTACACAATTTTATCTAAATTTTAAAACAAAATACATATCAAAGTAGAAAATTAACACCGATAAAAATTTAATATTATGTTAGTCTTTGATTATTCTTAATATTTTAAGTATTTAGATAAATAATTTGCTACTAAATATTTACCATAATTTAAGTCTACGTTTTCTTCTTCGTTATCTGAAAGTATTATTACAAAATTTATACTTCATGAATATCATATTACTATAGGTATGTAGAAATATTCTTAAAAGTGTTATTACCTGGTGATGCTAACATAAAACTTACATCCTCTGAAATTGACATAAAATAAATGTTTTATTTAATGAAATTCGATTTTATTAAGGCAAATATTATGTTTTATGAATTTCGGAAATTATGGGCGAATTGGAGTAAATTTGACAATAGAATAGTAATAATTAGGTTAGATGAAGTCAATTCAGCGATGCTACATTTGCAACAAAATAATTTGTTGCTTTACAGTTGTTATTATTATTTTGTTTACTATAAAATTATTATTACTTATCAGAAAATCTTCGATAACAATGTCTTTAATCACTGCCGGCAATTGACCTGGAATAAACAAATAATTGGTTGAGCTATAATTTATATATATCTAATAAAGATTCAAAATTATTTATTTTTGATGCAACACAAGTTGTTAAAATAACTTAAAATATGTATCCTTATTTCTTTTATCGTAATCATTGAATTTTTATTATTATTTTATTTAAAACAATGAAAAAAAAATTGTTTATACAAAATCTTAATCCATAAAAAAAACCTCCAGAATAAGAGTATAAAATGCGGTTAAAACTACACTGAACTCTACTCATCTTGTTATGTTTATTAGTCACTGCCTAAAGTGAATTGTAATTAAATTGTAGAAAAAAATATATTCTTCAAGAAAAAAAAAAATTTGATAAATAAATTGGGCGTCTACATTGTAGATCATAATAACTACAATTTTTATTAAAAAAATGATTTTATCATCTCACACAAACTTATTATCAACATTATTTTTTAGTATATCTATTTTAATTATATTTTACCATCCACCTGCTTCAAATGTAGGTCTGTAAATAAAATAAATAAATATAGTAAAACTATATTTAAAATTATTCTATCGAAAAAAAAATCTTTACTGACTTGCTCTGAAAACTTCCGTAGTGTATCGATCTATAAAAAAAATAAAATTTTGAATTGGTTTTTTAGATTTTTAATTTCTCATGTACCATTATATAATAATTAAATAATTACCTACTGCAGCTACAAAAACGTTTACCAAAGCAAGTGGTATTATAACGGATAAATATGTCATTTTTATCTGCAAATTAATAACAATAGTTTTTATTTTATTTTAGATTCAATCATTATTTAAGTATCAGTTGAGTTTAAAAGATAAATCTGTAAGATTATAAAGCTATTTCTAGTATGACTAAAGTAAAAACCTTACATAAATTCAATCATTAATGTTGAAATATGACCTGTAGAATTTTAAGGTGTTTTTCTCAGTTTTAATTTGGAAAAGATTATGTAGATAATCTACATAATCTATAACCGTAGATTATGCGTACATAATTAGTAATATAGACTTTCAATTTAATTAAATGTATTTTGCTGTTAAAAAGTTACAGTGAGCAGATATAAAAATTAAAATAACTAATAAAACTTAACAAAGAGTAAAAAAAATGATTATTAATGATATAAAAGATGTATTTACGATCGTGAAAACAGCTTACTGATTTTAAATTAAAATTTTAAATGATAAAATTTATAAGCAAAGTATCAATTCAACAGCCGTATAACTTGTAATAAAAATTGTATTATGATTAAATTTATTAAATTATTATTATAAAATCTGACATGTAAAATATTGTGACAGTACTTAAAAATTACTAAAAATTTGAATAACACGGGTAAAATGTATGTTGGTTTTTTATGCGTTTTAGCATATACCTAGCATTGTGCATGCTATTCTATCGGAAAAATATCTTATACAAAAAGGAATAAATATAATATGTGAAATAGTATATTGAAATTATTTTGATAGTCACTGACATAAGGCCAACAATTTCGTCTGATGATACTTGAAACTGTATCTTTATAGGATAATTAATTAATAATTTTTCATGAAGTCCAAAGGGATAAAGAGATAATATTTATTTCACAATTGGAGCATACATATTTGAGAATCCACAATATTATATTTATCATAAGTTTAGTGCCTACACAAATTATTTACAAAAAATACTAAATGTTATCTCAACAATTCTATATGCCATTTAGAATGTTCACGCCAAGAAAATAATTACAATATTAATAAATAATACATACATTATTACCCAGTAGCCCATACATTGATTATAAAATAATACAATTTTAAAACTACTAAAAAAAAAACGCATAAAAACGTTATTTTTAGATTCATTTTTTACTTTAGTTATTTTGTTCTTTTTCGTTTTCGTATGTACGTATCTATATATTTAAATGTACAATGTTATATAATGAATATACATAGTAAACATGTATTCTGTGGTATTAAAATGCAATAATTCTATACACTTTTAGATTTCTTACAATATAAATTGCTACTTAAGGTTGAAAAAAATTGTAAGAAAATGCAAAAAAGTGTAATGATGGGAACGGGTTTGGGAACCCGGACCGCTTATGTCTGAGCACCGTTCACGCCCAACGCACCACGCATAATTTTTACTGGCAGATGAGAAATAAGTCTTTTTGAATTGCAAGATTCCACCCGGAACGACAAACAAGATTTTGAATTCATAAAAACGTTATAATAATAATAAAAAGAGTAGACTCAGAATTAAATAACTAATAAAAACTTAACAAAATGTATAAAAAATATACTTACGATCGTGGAAACAGCTTACTATCACTTCAAGTACAATATAAAATGATGGAAATTATAAGCAAAATATCAATTCAATCGCCGTGTTAAACTTTTAAAATGTGAATTTTTGCAACTTTGAATAGGTGTTTATGCCGACTGAAACTATAAAATCGAAATAAATTTCGATGGGTGCCTATTTTGTTTTTTTTGCTTACATAGCGGTTTTAAGTAAGATTTCATATATTTACAATACATTGACGTCAGTTCAGACTTCTTTTTCTGTAGTTATTGGTTTAGCAATACTCGTTTTACAACATGCTATTGAATCAAATATATTTTAGCATGCTAAAGTACCAACTAGATAAAAGGAGTGATTTATAGAGTTCCTACTCGAAGGATTTGGTCCGGTATTAAAAAAGTTACAGTGTATACAGAAACCAAATAAAAACATACATCATTGTAAAACCAATAGCATCGATGCTCCCAATCGAATCTAAAATAATATGGTAGCTGGAAAATGGTTATCAGTGGTTAAAAACGAGGGGAAGAATCAGAAGTAGAATAAAGCTATATTATTAGCATTACGACTGAGAAGTCTTAATCAAATACTTTACAAAGTCTTAACTATCGATTAGATGGATGAAAATAAAAAATTGAAATATTAACAAATTTTTTTAATTTAGTGCCTACAAATTTATGGAATTAAAAATATATTATGCTGCTATATGAAAAATCGTAGTCCATACATCTATTACGTATAAGAGATCATAGTAGAAATGTTCTAAGAATTAAAAAATATAGTACAATGTGTATCGAAAAGTATAGGGAGAAAAAATTGTTTTCAAAACATTAATATATTCCCAGAAATTGAGTAATTTATTCATAATGAATCATCATATTATGGCACATAAATATACCATAAGTACAATTTTTGTAATATAGAATGGCAATATAATTATTTCTATTTTGTAGTTAAAAAATTAAAACGAGTAGATTCAGAATTAAATAACTAATAAACCTTAACAAAATGTATAAAACATATACTTACGATCGTGGAAACAGCTTACAATTACTTATATTAATACAATACATAAGTAACAAATGTTTTTATAATCGAGATTAAAACTGTTTATTTTTAAAGACATTAAGTTTATTAACAATTTTGATATTAGAAGATGTGCAAAAATGATTTATATAATATACCAATAATATAGTACCACAAAATAAGTTATCTATATAACTTCCGGTTAATTTCATTCTACTTGATCAGCGAGTAGTTCAAGTTGATTATCGGCAGCATCGATTTCCCAAATGTCGTTTAAGAATTTTTTATAAAGGTAAAATGTATTGTCGAAATGAGCTATAACACATCTTCTGTCAGTTTCTTCACTGAAGGCACAAATATCTACGGCCGAAGTTGGGTGTTCAATAGCTTTTAAAATTGCTATTAAACGACACACATCGAAAAAGTCTGCAAACTCCTCACTAATCGGTGCTCCTTAAACAAATAAAACAAATTACCAAATTTAGCTTATTTGTTACTATATTCCTTTATGTTACTGTGTTTGTTTTAAATTAATTTAAAAAGAAATAATTAAGACGATTTTGTATTATGAAATACATTGTTATTGTAAAAAAGTTCTACAGTTCTGAGTGTTATCTTAACGTTACTAATGATTGTATTTTATAGGAAAGTCTAGTTCAATATCTGTGTAGTTTGAGCTTATAGATTTATTATATAAACAAATTGTTTCTGTGGTTAGAATGAATGGTCTGTACCTAAATTATAATTTTTTTTTTGTATTTTGATTATTATTTAAATTAAATTAAGGAAACTAGAACAATCGAAATTAATACAATTAGAGATCAATTGTGTCAAAATATGTAAAAAATTATAGATAGAATATAAAAAAAATTCGATATGCATACTTACGTCTTATTATGGAACGGATTAAATGTTTTACAGCTTCGGTAATGAAATTTCTTCTTTCTACTGCCAAATCTTTCAGATTAGCTTCTTCTAATCGGTTTTTCAACTCTAACAAAATAAAAAATGGTTGCTCGTGAGTTGCATTACATTTTTTAGATAACCCATTTTTTGTACAAACTACCATTAGTGCCTAATAGATAATTTTCGTGGACACATTTAAAATATTAACCCTCCCCTTGAAAATTGAGTAAACCCGTTAAAATTATATTTTAAAACGATCTTCTTTTTTTGACTGGATGAAAATTGAAATCTAATTCGAAATCAGCGACCCCCAAAAAACCAATTTTAAAGTCTTTCGCATTAAAACCCAGAAAAGTGATAAAGCTTTGGTGGTCCAAACCAAGCACAGTAAAATTTATCAACGTGAGTGACGGTGTGCTGTTATTAGGCCGGTTTATACTGTGATTCGGTTGGAGTGTACTAATTTAGACTGCACTTGGTTTGAATAATTCGTAATATGTTTTTGATTCCATTCTTGTTCACTCTGTTTAATTTATACATCGGCTAATTCTAAGTGCTCTAAAAAACGAATACATGATTGTTACTTTACCGTCGTTTAAAACAGTTATCGCAGGTATACCTGTAACCAAAATATATCAAATATTACTAAACGGTTGAAAAAATGTTGATCGTTTTATTTTTCACTACAACAGTCATCTTCGAATTGAAAACGTTTAGACAAATTAATCAATGTAAAAAAATAAAAAAATTGTTTGTAGGAATAAGCGGCTTTAATTTTTAATCGATTAATTTTAAACCTTAGTTCAGTTTTGTATTTACCCGTTGTACGAGTTATCATATCTTGCAAAAAAATCTGGTACACAATTTTATCTAAATTTTAAAACAAAATACATTTTAATGTACAAAATTCATTACGATAGAAATCAATATTATGTAAGTCTTTGATAATTCTTAATATTTTGAGTATTTAGATGAATAATTTACTACTAAATATTTACTGTATTGTAAGTCTACGTTTTCTTCTTCGTTATCTGAAATTATTATAACAAAATTTTATACTATCGTGAATATAAAATAACTGGGTAATTTGTATGTAGAACTAATTCCTTAAAAAATATTACCCGGCGATGCTAACATAATACTTATTTCCGCTGAAACGAACATAAAAAAAATGTTTTATTTTGTACCGTTATATTAAATTTGTATTTTATTATAAATAATAAAAAGGAAGACAAGTGTTAATTTTTCATCACTATAAACTGACTAGGAATATTATATTGAAATGGGTGAATTGGTGTAAATGTGCCGAATAGAATAACTGGGCGAGATTAGATGAAGTAAATTCTATGATGTTTGTCAGAAAAATTCCATTTAGAGTAAAATTACATCATTGATACATTTGCAACGAACTAATTTGTTGCTTTAGAGTTGTTATATTATTTACTATAAAATTATGATTACTTATCCCAATATGTGCATGAACGATGTCTTTAATCACTGCCAGAAAGTGAGCTGAAATAAACAAATAATTGGTTGAGCTATAATTTGTATACACGGTTAAAGTTACCAAGTTAAAAAGTCTATGTTGGGAGTGGGGAAACAACTAAACAAATTGTGAAAAGTTGAGATCACATTGTATAAAAACAATATGAAAAAAAAATTCAATTCCTAATTAAACCCAGTGAGATATTGACTGGTTCATGATAAAAGAATCACCCCGTATATCTAATCCTTTTCGCGTATTTCAACTTTGGTGATACCTTTTATCTCGACTATTTATATTTATATATATATATATATATATATATATATTTTAACTAACCTAACCTAAATCGTGTATCAACATTATGTTTTAGTATATTAATTTGTATTATATTTTACCTTTTGCCTGCTTCAAGTGTAGGTCTGTAATTAAATTATATAAATTTATTAAAACTATTCTATACAAAAAAAAAAAAAACATTTACTGACTTGCTCTAAAAACCTCCGTAGTGTATCGATCTACAAAAAAAAAAAAATGAAATGTGTAATTTGTTTTTTAAATTTGTACTTTCTCGTGTACGTTTGTATAATAATTATATAATTACCTACTGCAGCTACAAAAACGTTCACCAAAGCAAATTGTATTATAAAATATAAAAATTTCATTTTTATCTGCAAATATAATAACACTAGTACTTATTTTATCTTAGATTCAATTATCATGTAAATATCAATTGAGGTATAAATCTGTAAAATTATAAATCTATAAAGATGGGGTTCTACAAAAATGATAATAAACATTGAATATTTTTATATTAGACTCAGTGACTGTTTAATTGTTCAGCTACGATGGGGAGCTAAGACGCTACATCATTTTTTTTTAATTACACAGATCTCATGTTACTGGATTCAAGATATTGCCAAAACAGCTGAATTATAGAAACGATAAAAATAACTTAACTCGATAAAATACTCTAAAAATCATAACAATTTAAAAAATAGACGAATAAAGATAAAATTTCTATTAATTTTATAATAATTTTTTTTTGGGCGTTTATTAGACTATTTTTAGACTTGGTTCTGAAATCAAGTCAAAATGGATATCTAGACAGTCAGTGTTGTCTCTACAGCATAATTAATTTTTTTTTAATTACAGTTTTTACTTTATTTTTAAGTTGTAAATCTTACAGTTATTTTATAAAAACCATCTAGTTAAAAAATTCATGGTAATAATTATATTGAATAATTGACAAAAACCATTTAACTCGTTTTCTAGTCTATTTTGCAAACGTAGGTATTTCAAATAGGACTAAAGTAAAAACTTATATTTTTAATACTTTGACATACATTTTAAGATTTATAACGTGTTGTACACTTATGTTGAAAAATTACCTGTAGAATTTTTAGGTGTTTTTTCACAATTTTAATTTAGAAAAGATAGGTTATTTAAAATGTTTGACACTTTAAAATACCGTGTACAGCGTAACTGTAGATTATGCGTACACTTTTAGTAATATAGACTTGCAATTAAATCAAACTTATTTTGCTGTTAGAAAGTTACAGCGAGCAGATACGAAAAAATATACTTACGATCGAGGAAACAGCTTACAATTACTTAAAGTACAATATAAAATGATGGAAATTATAAGCAAAATATCAACTCAATCACCGTGTTAAACTTTTAAAATGTGAATTTTCGAAATTTTTGAATAGGTTTTTATGTCGACTGAAACAATAGAACCGAAACAAATTTCGATGGGTACCTATTTTTTTTTGCTAACAATACCGGTTTTAGTAATATGATTTTATATTTGCACTACACTAACGCTAGTTCAGACTTTTTTCTTGGTAGTTATTGATTTTAATAACACTCGTAAAAGGTGTTGTGCATGCTATTCTATCGGAAAAATATCTTAGTACACAAAGGAATAAAGTGTATTATATGAAGTAGTATATTGAAATTATTTCGATACTATCTGACACAAGGCCAACAATTTCGTTTGATGATACTTGAAACGTTTTATCTAAACCCAAAACTTGTATTTAATGTCAAAAGTGTACTTGTCCTGAACTTTTTTCGTTAAAAACAGACTGTACCATCATAGGATAATTGATTAATAAATGTTCATAAAGTCCAATGGGATAAAGAGATAATATATATTTCGAAATTGGAGCACACATAATTGAGAATCCACAAGTTTTGTACACAAACTAATTACATAAACTAATAAATGTCATCTCAACAATTCTATAAGCCAATTAGAATGTTCACGCCAAGAAAATAATTACAATATTAATAAATAATACATACATTATGACCCAGTAGCCGATACATTGAAAATAAAAAAATACAATTTGATATTAATGACCAGCACAGTTTAAACCAAGTACAGTACAGAAGAAGTTAACAAAGTTTGATCGTATACATTTTTAAATCTGAAACTAATTTGATTACAATCAAATCCATCACAGAGTATCTACAGATTCGCATCGAAGCATTCCCATGAACGTGATTTCATTACTACCTTCTAATCGTTGGTCCAGAAGAACAGCATAGTGTACCTCATTTAGTTGTATATAATTTAGCATGCGACAAAAGTATTTATAAATAGGTACCTAATCTTACGGCTTGTTGAAAAGCCAACATAATAAGAGCTTAGTGTAATGTAGTGGAACCATTACTTTATATTAAATGTTTTTGGAACGAAGTTCCTTATCGCAGTTGGCGAGGGGTCCTAGCCGAGAAAAAATGTAAGGCGTTATGAAAAAAGATTATGAAAAAATCTATATGTGGTGCGGTCGAGCGTGATCGGTTTCCCAGGAGTGAGTGGTACCGGGTTTGAATCCGGCTCCCCTTTCAACACTTTTTGCATTTTTTTACAACTTTTTTTTCAACTTTTAAGGTAATTTATATTGCAAGAAGTCTAAAAACTTATAAAATATTTATATTTGATTACTACAGAACACATTTTTACCCTTGAAAGTACTTGATAACTTACATATTGCATTCGGTTTTTCGTAATTTATTATACTTCTCGAACTGATGATTGGATAACAATTCGTTTTGTATAATTGCACTATTTTAGAATTCTGATCCGTTAATGATTAATTATGCCAAACCCGCATACGAAGGGGAGGACTTTGTTCCAAACGCGTGTCCCGCGACACGGACCACTTTTTTTGTATGATATTCAACTTTAATAAATGCTGTAAGGGGTCTGGATTTTTTTTCCTACCATTTGTAAGTATTACTCATACGTGTTCATTTATTATTTGTCAGTACGGCAATTTTTTTTTTCCTAACAATTTTGACTAAGTCGTTACAGTTTAAAACGTTTTCGATTGTGGGACACTTGTACACACAAAAAATATTTCACCTTGGTTTTCGAGATCGCAGAAAACAACCGAGAAATGTATATATTTTTAACTTGAAGCAATTCTTATGGGCCTGTGATCCCCCCCCCCCTCCCCCAATAGGCTCCGTCACCACTGTACTAAATCTTTATATAATAATAATTAAGCTTAATTATATTCAGAAAATATATAAACAACGAAACCGTCAGTCGCATTGGCAAAGAGATTTAATAAGGTTAGGAAAATAGGGAAGGAATCAGAAGTAGAAATAAAGCTGTATTATAGGCCATACGACTGAAAATATAATATCTTTACAAAGTCTTAGCTAACCGAACAGATGGATGAAAATTAAAAATTCAAACGATAATATATTTTAACATCTTTTGTCTACAAATGTATGGAATTTAAAACATATTATATAGCCATTTGAAAAATCGTAGTCCATACATCTATTACGTATAAGAGATTAAAGTAAAAATGTTTTAAGAATTAAAAATTATGTTACTATGTTTATCTAAAAGTACAGGGAGAAAAAATTGTTTTCAAAATGATAATATATTCCCAGAAAGTGAGTAATTTATCCATAATGAATCACCCTGTATTATAAAATCTGACACGTCAAATAATGTACGCGTAAAATACCTTACTTGTAAGAACATGTAATAAATACAATAGATAAGAAACAAATGTTTTTATAATCGAGATTAAAACTGTTTATTTTAGTAGACATTAAATTTATTTACAATTTTGATATTAAAAGATGTGCAAAAATGATTTATATATAACAATAATATAGTACCATAAAATAAGTTATCCTTATAGCTTCTGGTCAATTTTAGTTTACTTGATCAGCGAGTAGATGAAGTTGATTATCTTCTCTATCGACTTCCCAAATCTCGTTTTCAATTGTTTTGTAAAAGTATATTTTATGGTCGAAATAAGATATAATACATCTTCCGTTAGTTTCTTCAAAGAAGTCAGACCATTCTATGGCTGAAGTTGGGTGTTCAATAGCCTTTAACACTCCTATTAAACGACACACATCGACAAAGTCTGCAAACTCCTCTCTAAATTGTCCTCCTTAAACAAATAAAAAAGAAAAACTTTTTTTACTAAGGGGTGTACAATTGGAAAAAAAACTAGTGTTTGTTTTATAATTTATATGATTAGGAATAATTAAGGATAATTTGTATTATAAAAAGAATTGTCGTCATTGTGAAAAAGTTCTACAGTTCTGCGTGTAAACGTTAATAATGATTGTATTTTATAGGGAAAGTATAGTTTAATATCTTACTGATTGGTGCTCCTTCAACAAATAAAACAAATTACCAAATTTAGCTTATTTGTTACTATATTCCTTTATGTCACTGTGTTTGTTTTAAATTTATTTAAAAAGGAATAATTAAGACGATTTTGTATTATAAAAAACAGTGTCGTCATTATGAAAAAGTTCTACAGTTCTGAGTGTGAAAAAATTCAATATGCATACTTACTTATTATGGAACGGATTAAATGTTTTACAGGTTCAATAATTAATTTTCTTCTTGCTATTGCCAAATCTCTCAGGTTAGCTTCTTCTAATTGGTTTTTCATCTCTAACAAAATAAAAATAAATGGTTGCTCGTGAGTTGCATTACATTTATTAGATAACTCATTTATTTTACAACCTACCATTAGGGCCTAATAGGTACTTTTTGAGGAAAATTTTTAAATATTGCTCTCTTCCCCTTCAAAATGGAGTAAACTCGCAACAAATTATTTTTTAAAATGATGTGCTCCCGTTTGACTGGCTAAAAATTAAAAAGGTACTATATCTAATTCAAAATAAGCGACCCCCAAAAACATAGTATCACCAGTTTAAAAGTCTTTTTCACTAAAATTCAGAAAAGTGTTCGAGGATGTTTGGACCACCAAACCAAACACAATAAACAAGTATCAACGTGAGGTCAAGTTTTCTGTTATTTGGCTGGTTTATACTGCAGTTGAGTTGGACTGTACAAGGTTTGAATAATTCGTATTATGCCTTGGTAACATGATAAAAACATCAAATGTCACCTAAAAAAACAGCCTACCACAAGATTCAATTCTTGTTTCTTCTGTTTAACTTATACATTGGCTATTTACAAGTGCTCTAAAAAACAAATATATAATTGTTACTTTACCGTCGTTTAAAACAGTTATCGCAGGTATACCTGTAACCAAAATATATCAAATATTACTATACGGTTGAAAAAATGTTGATCATTTTATATTTCACTACAACAGACATCTTAGAATTGAGAATGTTTAGACAAATTAACCAATGTAAAATATTTTAAAAATTGCTTGTAGGAATAAACCAATTTAGCAGCTTTAACTAATTTTTTAACGATCATCAAAACCTTATTACATTTTGGTATTTACCCGTTGTACGTGTTATTATATCTTGCAAAAAAATCTGGTACACAATTTTATCTAAATTTTAAAACAAAATACATTTTAATGTAGTAAATTCACCCCGATAAAAATGTATTATTATGTAATTATTTGATCATTCCTTATATTTTGAGTACTTAGATGAATAATTTACTACTGTCTATTTACCATATTTTAAGTCTACGTGTTCTTCTTCGTTATCTGAAATTATTATTACAAAATTTATACTTTATGAATATCAAAGAACTATAGGTATGTAGAAATATTTCCAAAAGTATTATTACCCGGTGATGCTAACATAAAACTTACATCCTCTGAAATTGACATAAAATAAATGTTTTATTTAATGAAATTAGATTTTATTAAGGCAAATATTATATTTTATGAATTTCGGAAAATACTATTTTTCGATTTATTATAGGACACCGACTAGGAATATGGTATAGAAATGGGTGAATTGAAGTAAATCTGACGATTAGATTAATTGAAGGCCCCGGTGCAATAACCAGGTATGTCCACATTTTTTCAAAATCGTGTTTTGATATAGAAATATTGAGAAAAAAAATCTCTTTCGATTGGTGCAACAACCGATTACGTCCAATGAATGGTATTGAAATAAAATAATAAAAACTGATTTTTTAATTTCTGTTGGCTGCAATAACCAGTTATGTCCAAAATTCAAAATTGGACGTAACTGGTTATTGTAACCATTGAAAATATAAATATCATACTTTTTTTAGTTCTTATAAATATTATCATAAATATCAAATGTAAACCAAAGGAAATGAGTTTAAATGATGTATCTTATTCTTACAAGAAGAATAACACCACATTTTTAGCTTTTGGTTCATTTACCAATTTTATAGATAGTTTTTTATGTTTCCTAAACAATTTTGAAAATTTGACGTACCTGGTTATTGCACCGGGGCCTACAATTAAGCGAGGTTCGATGAAGTCAATTCTGCGTTGTTTGACAGAAAAATTCCATTTAGAATAAAATTACATCATTGCTACATTTGCAAGAAAATAATTTGTTGCTTTACAGTTGTTATTATTATTTTGTTTACTATAAAATTATGATTACTTATCAGAAAATCTTCGATAACAATGGCTTTAATCACTGCCGGCAATTGATCTGGAATAAAAAAATTATTGGTTGAGCTCTAGTTTATATATATATCTATTATTTTTCGCGAATTTTACCTTTGGAAATATTAGATGCAAAAAAAGTGGTTAAAAAAACTTAAAATAAGTATCCGATTTTTTTTTTTATCGTAATCATGGGATTTTTATTATTATTTTATTTCAAAACAATTAAAAAAAAAAAAAGAGTCATATGAAATCTCAATTAATAAAAAAACCTTCAGAATAAGAGTATAAAATGTGGTTAAAACTACACTGAACATTACTTACCTTATTATGTTTATTAGTCACTGCCTAAAGTCAATTGTAATTATATTGTAGAAAAAAATATATTCTTTGAGAAAAAAAAAATGATTTAGATAAATTGAGCGTCTACACTGTAGATAATAAAAACTTATGTCAGTCCAATGGCCACAGCTGTCGCGGACTTTATTTAATTTAAAAAAAAAATTAAAAATAAAAACATGTAATTTAAAAAATTATTTTTTCCTCTCACACAAACTGATCATCGACATTATATTTTAGTAAATTAATTTTAATTCGATTTTACCTTTCGCCTGCTTCAAATGTAGGTCTGTAAATATATTAAATAAATATAGTAAAACTATATTTCAAATTATTCAATAGGAAAAAAAAATCTTCACTGACTTGCTCTGAAAACCTCCGTAGTGTATCGATCTATAAAAAAAAAAAATTTTGAATTTGTTTTTTAGATTTTTTCTTTCTTGTGTACCATAATATAATTACTCAATAATTACCTACTGCAGCTACAAAAACGTTTACCAAAGCAAACGGTATTATAACATATAAAAATGACATTTTTATCTGCAAATATAATAATACTAGTTTTTATTTTTTTTAGATTCAATTATCATTTAAGTATTAGCTGAGTATAAAAGATAAATCTGTAGAATAATAAAGCTATTTCTTAAGTAAAAACTTCTACAACCGTAGATTATGCGTATATAATTAGTAATATAGACTTGAAATTTAATTGTAAAATGTGTAAAATTATGTCGTTACATACTAAAACGTTATAGATCGTGGAACACTTGTGTACACAAAAAATGATAAGATGTGAAAAGATGATTCATACATAACAAAAATATAGTACCATAAAATATTGTTTGGGTGCCTATGATAACATATTTACTTAGCTGTTGGTGGTAATATGATTTGATATTTGCATTACACTAACGCTATGTCAGTTTTTTTTCTTGGTAGTTATTGATTTTAATTACACTCGTAAAATGTGTGTTGGTTTTATATGCATTTTAACGTATACCTAGCGTTGTGCATGCTATTCTATCGGACAAATATCTTAGTACACAAAGGAATAAGTATATTATATGAAATAGTATATTGAAATAATTTTGATACTTTCTTACATAAGGCCAACAATTTCGTCTGATACTTGAAACGTTTTTTTTTTAAATACAAAACTTGTATTTAATGTCAAAATTGTACTTGTCCTGTACTTTTTTCGTTAAAAATACACTGTATCGTCCTAGGATAATTAATCAATAAATATTTATAAAGTCCAATGGAATAAAGAGATAATAAATATTTCGAAATTGGAGCATACGTATTTGAGAATCCACAATATTATATTTATTATAAGTTTAGTGCATACACAAATTATTTACAAAAACTACTCAATATTATCTCAACAATTCTATATGCCATTTAGTATGTTCACCCCAAAAAAATAATTACAATATTAATAAATAATACATACATTATTACCCAGTAGCCCATACCCAGTAACCCATGGGGAAGTTATGTTTAAATTAAACGAGTAAACCTGCACAATTTAAATCAAGTACAGTATAGAAGAAGTTATCAACGTTGGATCAAACCAATTTTTAAATCTAAAAAAGATTTCATCACTAAGTATTTACATATTCGGATCGAAGCATTCCCTTAAACGTGATTTAATATATCATACCTCATATACCCATTTAATATCATACCTCCTAATTGTTGGTCTAGAAGAACAGAATAAAATACCTATAATAGTTCTATAAAATTTAGCAGATGGCAGAAGTTTCTATAAATAGCCTAACCTTTTGGCTTGTTGATAAGATAACATAATAAGAGGTTAGTTTTATTGTTGTGAAACCACCATTTTGTTTTTAATGTTTTTTGTATGATAATGGGTTTTAATAAATGCTGTTACACAGTAAAGCAATTTTTTTAAAAATATTTTTAGGTATTGTTCATACGTGTTCATTTATTATTTGTCAGTACGGCAGTTTTATTTTCTTAACAATGGTAACTTCTTAACAAAGGTAACTCACGTCGTTACATGCTAAAACGTTATAGATTGTGAATACTTGTGTACACCTTGATTTTAGATATCGAGAAAAACCACCGAGAAATTTACATACCTAAGTAAATGTACAATACTTTACTTTTCAGATTTCTAATACCGGTTAATTCTTTTGGATAAAAAATTGTCTAAATACATTTATTTTAAAGTCATAATAAAAAAACCAGTGCAGACTAAACTAGTACAGTTCAAACAAAGGCCAATTTTAAATTAGTATTGTTGTTCAAGGGGATATTTAATTTTGAATTGATTTTTTTTTTTAAGCACATGTGGCGTTGTGCAATTTTTTTAAAAAAACCTTACTTTTTAAAAATTGATGAACATTTTTTTTTATAGAATTGGACACTCAAACTATAAATGTTTTCATAATGGTCCAAAAGTAGATAAGTGCACTAGTTATAAGAATCCCACGGGGCGAGGAGGATTATATAAATATGTATACACATACAGGGAGATTCAATAAGAATAGGACGGAAATTTTGTTGAAACAATTCTAATAATCTAAAAATTATAAATCTTTTATATTTTTTTAGACAATTTGTAATTTTTATATCAAAAAATTTGTATTTTTCCTTTTTATCGGTTTGGTAGACGCCTAAATTGTAAAAAAATCTGTTTTATAAGTATAATATTTATTTGTTTTGACTACTATTTTCGCATCGACGGAGAAAACAAAATAATAAATCATTGTAAGACAAACATCTTATATTAATACACGTGCTCCCTCGGCTTTATTACTAAAACCTGTTATTCTTATTTATTTTCAATAAATCTAAAAATATATAGCATATAGCGATTGTCTAACATAGATATAATATTATACATACAGAGTGCAACGTTTTCTCCCGTATAAATAAGTATTAAAATATTCAAATTATTGGATCACCCTGTACATCAAACACGCAGGCTATATTTTCTAGATTTGAGGCCATGTCGATTACTGAGTAAAACCAATAGCTAAAAAGAATAAGTTTAAACTGTGCGCCGAAAAATTGTACATAATAATATGAAGTCTTTATTATAAAAAAAAAAAATACACCAGCTATATCAATAATTCAACTTGGGTACCCTGCAAAATATATTAGATTTTATTAGAGTTTTGGTCGCCCATACGAAATACGCAAGTAAGTCACTTCAAAACAGTCTGTCAACCTTATCGAATTGACTTCGGTCGTAAAATATATTGTTCAAGTAAGCCGTATATTATCAAACTGCAAAAAAATTAAGTATGCTTTGAATCAGATTATGCTTTGAAACTTGAGTTATATTTATCCAAAACCCGTGTTATGACCAGTCTATTAAGTATATAATTCTTCTCTCTATGGATAAATCGAATAACAACCTACCTACATGTTTGTATTTGAACACTTGTAAAAAATATTATTACTTAGATCAAATTTTGGGGTTTTGGTAGGTCGTTTATATTCACCACACCGATGACTTGAGTAATATAACTGCAATATTTTTTTTTTTTTATATTTTAATATTATTTCTACATTCTAATATTTCTGACTGATAAAAAATTGACTACCAAAGTGACATAGCTGTTAAATTTTATTTGTAGATTTCAATAGTATACAATTTACGTGACTACTTACACCGTCATACAATGAAGTCCACTGGCTTGCGACTTTTACCCGTGCTGCTAGTTAGTTCTTTGAACGTCGTTTCGGGTCATCAATGTTATAATTTGCCACCTGTGCCTAATTTCGATCCGGCACAAGTAAGTCCAAGTAAAATTGTCTTAAAAAGTATTGTTTTATGTAATTACAGTGCACTGATCCGGCGCATTTTCTATAGTTTTTAGGAACATGGTACGCTCTTCATTCGACGGAACCACAACATCGGTGCGTAGTGTATGATTTATACACACTGAAACTCAAAAACACTCGAATTCGCGAAAACAGAGACTGTCCAGGTTGCATGCACTGTGAAGGTTGTGTAGACTGTAAAGATTGTGTAGCCAGTAAGAATTGCAAGAGGAGTACGAAATGTTTAGAGTGTATAGATTGTATAAGTTGTACGGGTTGTCTACGTTGTACAGATTGTATAGGTCTGATAAATGGTGTAGATGTAACCGGATACAGACCACCGGGTTACGACCGTGAAGCTAAATACAGTTTTACAGGGAAAGTGGAAGCCGATCCAAGTTTACCGTCACAATCGACCGTTTCTGTCACTTCTCCCATGCGTGAGTAATTTGAATTTCGATTACCACCATTATACTATTCTTGCCATCTGGTTGTTCCAACCGCACAACCGAACCGTTTCGACGAGTGCTTCATTAGATTTATATTACAGCTACCTAGGTGTTTGTTTAAAATGGTCATGTGAATTATTTTACCGTCAATACACCCTACGTACAAATAATCTGCTTAATACTAAATGAATAATTGGATTGCCAATAGTGAACAGAATAATATTATATAGATACCAAATTGGTAATAATCCACTTTGCAGCTAATGTTGATGGGGAAATGAATTGGGTTGTGTTCGCCACTGACTATGTGACCCATGCGGGTATATACGCGTGCCAAAAAACGTCGGAAGGCTACAATCATTCTATAACCGTTTTGTCCAGATCAGAGGTCCTGGAGGAAACCGTGCTACACGATGTAAATTCATTGCTATTTATTTTGTTTTAGAATAAATAGGAAATTGACTTAATTTAAATTGATTCTTTATGCAGTAAAAAAAAATACCTTGTTTTTTTTGTTTAATTTACAGTTGAGCACATTTGTAGTTGAACATATGGTTCACAGTACAGCAGATGATCTGCAATTCGTTAAAATTGACCATGAGAACTGTGACCATCCTTATGAGAAATTCGATGTGAATAGAAATATTCAGAATGTTATTGATCGAAATGAGAAAGTTTACATTTCCATCAATTTTATGGCAGACAAAGATACCACACCATTTGGATGCGTTAAAATTAGTTAAATACTAATCAATTCTTAAGTTTTATAGCATGACCAAGTACAACTAACCCGTTACTGTTATAATGTTTATTGTAATCTGTTAAACATTTTACCATAATACAATTTACCATTGTTCATAAATATTATTAAATTCATAATCAGTGATAATATACCTTATATTTTTTAATAGAACTAAAAACATGTTAAATTCTTAGGTATATTTGGTTTGGTTAAGGGCCTTAGCTCAGTTTAAATACATTTCTTAATGCTTTGTTAAACAAAACTAAACTGTATCAGATAATATTTAAAAAAAAAAATTTATAAAATTGGAAATGTTTTAGAATATTTTTTGAAAAACTTGAATTAAATACTTAAAAATAGTTAATATTGTCCTATGCTCCATCACCATTTCTCACTGAGATCCGATCCAATTCGTTTGGCTTCTGTTTTATAATTGTACACTGAAATATTTTTAAAACCATACAATCACGGTAGTGTCGGTACAATAAACATATTTTTCTTTGTGATGAAAAAATACTATTCAAGGTACTATATTTTCCCATAGTGGTCGCACAGTCTTAACATTTTGATGGAATTTATTACTCAAAAGAAATTTCTATAGGCACCGGCTCTTTTGATTGATTTTATAAAATTAAAAGTTCAATCAAATTATAAAAAAAAAAAAATATATAGTTTAACATGCATAATATCTAAATTAATATGAAGGTTGCTAAATAATATATATGTCATTCTAAAATCACCCCTTCGCTAAATCCTCTTGTTAAAGGGGAAGAAATTACAATGGCCTTAAAATATTTTTGTACGATAAAAACCAAAAATGGTTCACTTAGTTTCTTTTTTTCATAGTTTTAGAAATAAGGTAGGTGTGTCATGTAATTCTTAAGACCTTGTATTTTGTCGACGTTAGGTGTGCATTATTATAATGCAAGCTTAACATGGGGTAAGTAAATAATATTAACAGTCTTTTGCACGTGTAAAACAATTTTATATTGACGATTACTATATTTTTATTCGTGTAAATATTGGAAATGGAAACGCACATCAAATCACACAAGTATTTTTCCAAAGTAAAAACTTATTGTTTTCGAGTTAACGTTAGGCAAGAATTCCAATCAATAGTAAAAACTATTGGTATTATATCAACCTATGTAGAACAGAAAAATAATTTTTTTTTCGGTGAATCATTTTTGTATTCAAAATATGTGTACAAATAAGAACAACTACAACGACAATAACAACGGAAAGCACAATAACAATTTCGTTATAACAGAAAATGATACATTTTCATTCAAAACCTACGCGTCGATAAAATATCTGTTTGTACTTCATATTGTGAAATTGAGAAAAATGTACAAAAATACCGGCTAAAAAATTCAGGTTTAATAATAACCTGAAATGCAAAATTCTAAGCAGTGTGGTACATATCAGATCCTGAATCTTAATTAATAACCTTCGAGTTTCTAATACAAAAAATTATAATAAAAAATGCAAAAAAAAATAGAAACGAGGAACTCGAACATTGGCAATTTTATATATTATTTTTCGGTAAATTTCTGATTAAAACTTAATACTTGATTTATGAGTATTAATGGATTGCAATTTAAAAAAAAGTACTAAAACATTTATGTGCACAAGTGTCGAAATGTGTGTTTCGTATTTCGTATTGTTAAGTATTTTCGACTTTTAACCCAAATTTCGACAATCATCTCTTCAGTCTTTTGTCAGAGTAACATTTGTGTGGCTATATGATTTCTGTTTGTTTCAATTTATCTTTACGCTAAACAAATTTTCAGTCGTACATCAGAATAACAAAAGTTCTTTCTTACATTACTATGCACAAAAACAGTATATTATGTTTTATAGCTTTCATTATCTTGGATATATTTTTGGGTAATTTTTATTTGTAATTTTTTCACGATACTTAATTTTCAGGTTGACTATTCAAAATTAACCAATCACTATAACTATGATTTTATGTTATCTAATTAAATGACAAACGGTGTCGAAAGAATTTTTGATCACATAACTATATTATGTTCTTCACAAACTTTTGTACACGTGTGTGAATTTGTATTTATACCTAATTTTGTTGTTTATATTTAGTCACACAATGTCAGCCAAAACCAATGGGTTAGTAAAAAAACATAAGTTAACGTCACGTTATGAAGTCGAAATATTATATCTGTATCGTTTTTGATTTTACAAACGATTTGTATTTTATAGCAATCTTAGTAAATGTCATACCTTTTTTTTGCGATATATTTATTGTACCAGTTTGCTTTATTACTCACCGTGACTACTTATTTATATACCTACGTACCATTCGAAAATGGGAATATTTCTAAACAAGCATACAGTATTAGTTCCAAATACAATTATTAAATTTAGAATGAATAAATTGATTACCTTAGAGTTCATGCGTGTACAACTAATAATTATAATATAATTGCTTGTCATGTATATTTTAAGGTATATTTGAAAATAAACTATATTATTAAGAATTATACATATTATTGGAAAAAAAATATTTTATAGCAGAAAATTATGAAGTTTTTATAAGTGGTATTCAACTGTATTATTTGTTGAATTAGATGACGCTGATACAGATGTGCCAACGCCGATGAACGTAGGAGGTCAGGAAGGACTACAGAGTTAGTAGTTAGATTACCTAGTGATTACTAGTATAGATTACCTAGTGTAGAGGTCAAAAGACCCAATATTCACTTTTGTACACATTCTCTGTGCCCACTGCGTGGCCCAAAATCAACTTTAACAAGTTAATAGTTTGAAATCCTAAGATCTTACTGAGTTCCACCCCTAGATAGCGCAGGTGTATGAGTATCCACTCGGGTTGCCCCAACGGCGAACGCCGGTTTCGGTAACCTCTTTTGGTGGTGAGTATTATCGTCTCGGTTTTCCCTGTTGAGGGCTAAAGACCATTTTCCTCCATCCACCTCATAACTGCCGCTATCGATCCATTCACCGGGCCTTTGATCTAGACCTAGATGACATCTTAATGATTAATTAGACACGTTTACATTATGTAATTTATGATAAAAGTACTTAAGTACCTAAAATAAAACCTGATTAGGTTAGGTATTATAAATGCGAAAATGAATTTATATTGATACCTAAATTTTTTGTTTAAATTTAGGCACACAAGGTCCGCCAAATCCACCGGGTAAGTAACAAACATAAATTAACAAAACGTTATATATTTTTTTTATATTTTAATATACATTTTTCTATTAATTATCGTGTACATTCATACTAATTACCCGTAGATACTCTTACTGTTTCTGAAGCTGTATTAGTAGCTTTAATTTTAATCGATTTGATACTTAATTCTGTTGTTTAGTTACACAAGGTCCGCTAAATCCACCAGGTAAGTAACAAACATAAATTAACGAAATAACAAAAGATAAATTGACTAGGTTAGACTTGCCAAGAAATTTTCAAAAACAAATTTTTTTTTTATGTAATAGCTGCACCACAGTTACTCTAAACACATAATATAAAGCATGATTCCTATTCAAACCTATTTAGTTATTGTTCTTCTACAAACTGTGAAGCCAATTTAAATTTAGCAAACATTAATTGTATTTGTATAACTTGTATTAGTTCCCTTTGATATTGATGGAACGCCGCCACGAGACGTACCTGGTCAGTATAGTCAATAGTGTTAGTAGTTATGTAATGAAGATTTTATTTAGTATATTATTTAAAGACAATTGGTGAAAAGTTGAAAAAAATAAAATTTGTATAATTTGCATATATTATGTGACACCTAAGCTAATTATTATTTTGATATATTAGGTGTACAAACTTCAAATGAACAAGAAAACTCACAAGGTTTGTATAGACAATAGAATTAGTAATATGTTAATAAAGTCCAGCACCAGACACGATAAGAAGAAGAGTTAGTAGTACGAATGAATTCTTAAAGCAAAGGGCGTATCCCGTATATATTATATTATATAGTTTAGACACTAGACAATGTTTATATTTTTATTCAACACATATATTACTTAAAACGTTAATATTTATAATTAACACTTCTCGGGCTAATTCTTAGCGTTCTTAGTTCATGCGGTACCTAGGTATTTATTTAAATCATTTTTCATATAAATAAAAAGCCAAGAATCATTAATAAAATCTATAGTTATTTCAACATGCCTTACTTAGTTTTTTTATTGTGTTTTAGGTTGCGAGACAAAAATAAAAAATGGTATGTTTTTCAACCTTTGGACGTCTTATACAATAAATAAGTCATCCAAAACATTTTTTGGGTTACTATTTTGAAACAATACATATACAAATTAACACATTTCTCTGAAGTATAAACTAATTAGTATGAACAAATGTCATATTCATTTGAACATACCTAACATAGTTTATTATTGTTTTTAGTTTGTGCCAAATGTGGGAAAACTATGTCATCAGGTATGAATTTTCATCAGTAATAACATAATTTTGTGCTCATTTCAAATTTTACACAAATTAATTTTGATTCATAATGTTTTTTGTATTTTGAACTGCCTAATATTGTATTTGCTTGAATGCTTGTGTAGCTGCCGGAAGCATGTGTAAAGCCGTGAGAAGTTGTTTTCGGGGTTGCTCTAATTGCATGGGTGAAGGTGTTGACAGTAGGTAGTCTTTTAATTATTACACAAATTAATTTTATAGTAATAAATATCATTGATTTCACTAATATTGCATACGCTTAAATCTTTGTGAAGCTGCTGGATACGTGTGTGATAAAGTGGGAACATGTATTTGTTGTTTCCTTGAACATATCAGTATGTATTTATGTTTTTTAATTAAAAATTATACGTTATAAATTAGTATATTTATAAAATAAATAAAAACATTTTAGCTGAAGATCCACATCATAGTCATCCTTATAGACTTTAACACCACAATCGTCATCCTGGACATCATCATCATGGTTTATAATAGCAATCATAAGGTGAAATAACCTAGTCTTTAAAAGATATTTATATATTTGATGTTTATGTTTAAAATATCATTCCATAGAATTGTTTTGAAAATACAAAACAGTTAATTTACACTGTTTTTTTTAAACATTAGTAACATTATACAAATCAATATTATTTAAGCTGAGAATTAAATGAAGTTTTTTTTTTATTACAGAAATGATCGAAATTTGTTGCAGAAATATACACTTGCCTATAAATATTAAATACATAGAAATTTATATAATTAAATTGTGTAAACTTTTACTCAACCATAAACATATATGTTTCACGAATTAATAATAAACTTTAAATTGAAAATAATATATGGTTTTTTATCAGTCCAAGTTTGCAAACTTGGTTGATATATTTTCGCCTGATTTTATGTAGCACATATTCAGTATGTACAATTCTGCATATATTCTTAGTAACTTATAACTAATAAGTGTTTATTAACAATTGATATACTGAGATTTTGCCTTGTATTCTTAAGTGTTTCGACAAGAAACAAATTCGTTTAAAAAAAAAAATACCGTGGAATCTTGAATACAACTATATGCATAAAGTCATAAAAACTATTGATATTATATCGACCTATGTAGAACAAAAAAATTAATTCTTATTCAGTGAAATATTTTCGTATTCGAAACGTCTGTACAAATAAGAACAACTACAACGACGATAAAATATCTTTTCATACTTCATATTGAAATATTGAGAAAATGTACAAAAATACCGGCTATAATACTCGGGTTTGATAATAAAGACCTAAATCCATAATTATAAGCAGTACGGTACATATCAGACCCTGAACCTTGATGATTTCTCATAACCTTCGAGTTTCTAATACTAAGAGTGATAATGACAAGTACGCAAAAAAATAAAAATATAAAGAAATTCCAACATAGACAATTTTGTATTATATTATTTTGTCGTACTTTTCTATTCAAATCTTATATACTTGATTTATGAATATTTATCGATAGCAGTTTAAAAAAAATGTACTTAAACATATTTTATGTACACAAGTGCTGACGTTGTAAGTGTTTCAAAAGTATTTTCAATTTATAACTTTAACAGTTGTAAAATAAAAAGATTTATCATCAAAACTGCACATAGAAAAACCCAAATTTCGACAATTCCCTTTTTCAGTCTTTTTGTCAGAGTAACACTTGTTTGACAATATACGTTCGTTTTCAGTCGTACAACTAAAGGTTTTTTTTCAGAATAACAACAGATATTTCTTACATTATGCACAAATTTGCTATATGTCTTATAGCTTTCATCATCTTGGAATATCTTTGGGTAATTTTTATTTGTAATTTTTTCACTATTCTTAATTTTTAAGTTGACTATTCGAAATTAACCAAACACTATAACTATGATTTTATGGTATCTAATTAAATGACAAACGGTGTTGGAAGAAGTTGATTATAGATCATAATATTTTCTTCACAAATTTATGTACACGTGTGTGAAGTTGTGTTTATACCTAATTTTGTTGTTTATATTTAGTCGCACAAGGTCTACCAAAACCGCTGGGTAAGTGACAAACATAAGTTAACAAAACGTTATATATTTTAATATACATGTTTTCTATTAATTATCGTGTACATTCATACTAATTAATTGTATAATATTTTAAAACCGTATAAAGCATGATTCTTACTGAATCCTATTAAGTTATTATTTTTTTACAAACTGTTAAGCCATTTTAAAGTTGGCAAACATTACATTTATTTGTATAATTTGTTGTGTTAGTTCCCTATAATGTGGATGGATCGCCACCACCGGATGCATATGGTCAGTATAGACAATGCAGTTAGTAGCTACAATCGTGATTTTATTGTATCTAATTAAATTACATTTGATGTTGGAAGAAATTGAAAATGATCACGCAATGATATGTTACTCACAAAATTATGTATGCGAATAGAAATCGATTTGATACTTAATTCTGTTGTTTAGTTACACAAGGTCCGCTAAATCCACCAGGTAAGTAACAAACATAAATTAACGAAATAACAAAAGATAAATTGACTAGGTTAGACTTGCCAAGAAAATTTCGAAAAAGATTTTTTTTTTTATGTAATAGCTGCACCACAGTTACTATAAACACATAATATAAAACATGATTCCTATTTAAACCTATTTATTATTAACCTTGTAAAAACTGTTGAGCCAATTTATAGTAAGCAAACATTAATTTGTAAAATTTGTTGTATTAGTTGCCATTGATGTGGATAGAACGCCGACACGGAATCCAAATGGTCAGTAAAGACAATAGAGTTTATATTTCTGTCAAGTATAAACTATAATATTAATATAATAAAATATATATTTATTTAAACATAGCAAACAAAGTTTATTATTATTTTTAGTTTGTGGCACTTGTGGGAAAACTTTATCATCAGGTATAATTTTTCATTATTTTTTACTATGTTTCGATAATTGTCAAATGTGACTTTAATTATTATATTAATTGAAAACATTTGATGAAATATTGAAAAAATAACAACATTTACCTAGTTATTCGGATCTGTGGAGAGTTTTTCGCTACACGTTACCAAATCAATAATTACATTTCTGTCAAGTATGAATTAATATGATAAAATGTATGTTTATCTAAACATACCTTACATAGTTTATTATTGTTTTTAGTTTGTGTCAAATGTGGGAAAACTGTGTCATTAGGTATGATTTTCATCACATTTTACTATGTTTCAGTTATTACATAATTTTGTGTTCTTTTTAAATTTTACACAAATTAATTTTGATTCATAAAGTTCATTGTATTTTGAAATTCCTAATATTGTATTTGTTTAAATGCTTTTGTAGTTGCCGGAAGCATGTGTAAAGTCGTGGGAAGTTGTCTTCGTTGTGGCCCTGAATGCGCGGATGTAGGTGTTGATGGTAGGTATTCTATAAATTTTGTTCAAATTAATTTTGATTAAAAATGGTAATTGTATTTTGAAACGACTAATATTGTATTTTCTTAAATCGTTTTGTAGCTCTGGGAAGCATGTGTGATGTGGGAGGCATTTGTGATGGCGTGGGAAGCTGTATTGGTGGTTGCCTCGAGTGTATTTGTCACTGTTTATGTCAATCTTTATGTTTAGCTTGTGCTGATCCACTTACATGGTTATTTAAAAATAAATTAGTATAACTAGAAAATAAATTAAAACGTTTCAGGTGAAGATGATGATTGATCATCTTCATCATCAAGGATATTATTAGTAATCATTAGGTAAACTAACATAATCTTTAACAGATATTTGTACATTTAATTCTCATATTATAGTATATCATTCCTTAGAAATTGTATGAAAATACAAATCATTTAACTCAAACTGGTTATTTTTAACATAAGTAACATTATACAAATTATATATATTTAAGCGGTGAATTAAATATCGTTTTTCTTTATAACATAAATGATCCAATTGTGTTGCAGAAATATACACTTGCTTATAAATATGTATTATTTTTATAATTAAGTTATGTAAACTTTTACTCAACCTTAAACATATGTATTCCACGAATTTCTAATAAACTCATACAATCTGGCAAATTAAAAATATCTTGTTTCATATTAGTACAACTTTGCAAACTTGGTTGATATATGTTCGCCTGATTTCATATTTTTAGTTTTGTTTAAGTGTAGTATGTATATGATTTTTCTATCTTTATAACCTATGCGTTGAATGTGGTATGTTGTCTTCTGACTATTGATTTGGCGATAATGTAAAATTGATACAACACTCTGCTTAGAAATTATTTAAATTATCTATTTCGAAGGTACGGCTGGAATATAAAGGGCTATGAATCAATATACGTAATTTCAATAATAATTATAATATTATAATTAACAGTTACAGTCACAGTTAACGACATGCAGACGGATCTACCCTTCCACTCGTCCAAATTTTTTAAACTTTAATTACTCAAAGTAAATATTTAAAACTGGTTGTCACCTGCTTTGTTACCTTATTACCTGCCGGGGCAAGGCATTAAACCTAAAAAGTCAATCGAGTCAGCCATTTCATTGCCGCTGATCCCTGAATGACCAGGGACCCGATGAAATTGATCCTCTATACCAAAGGAAAGAAAATGGAAAAAGAGAACTTTAGTCGAAAGGATAATAAAAGAACTGTGGAAACTATTAAGGTTTTAAATTGAAGTGACTCGCCTGAGAATCTAGAAAGTGCATGAAAAAAGCAGCACAATCTGCAAAAAATGAAGTAAAGAAAAAATGTAAGCTGGAAGAGTAAGAAATGCCAAGGCTTGGAAATAACCTACTCTTAGTTTGTGTATTATTTCTATTGTGCAACCATGTTGGCATTATGAAAATAAATGATAAAAGTTGAATTTGCTATTTCGTGTACTTGTAAAATGTGTATCGAAAACAAGTGTTTTTCTTCAACGTTATTTGTTTTGTCATTTATACTATTTTTTCGCACTGTCCTACATGTACCTACAGAAAAGCAATTGTGTTTTACTGCGATTTCTTTATTTGTATTAAACCACAATGTCTAAATAATATATTATTTTTCGTCTTTTAGTCAAAGTAATACTTGTGGGCAATACGATTTCTGCTCGTTTCAGCTCAACTATCAGTTTCGTATAATTTATTGGTATTTTTCAGAATAAAAAAGGTTGTTTCATTCATTATGCACAAATTCACAATTAGTTTAATATCTTTCATCATCTTGGAAATATCTTTGGGTAATTTGTATTTGTAATTTTTTCGCTATAATTATGATTTTCTGGTATCTTACTAAATGACATACGGAGTTGAAAAAAGTTGATCATATGAAAATATTTCCATCACAAACTTTTGTACCCGTGTATAAATTTATATTGATACCGAATTTTGTTGTTTATTTAATTTAGTCGCACAAGGTCTGCCAAAACCACCGGGTAAGTAACAAACATAGGTTAACGTCACGTTATAAATATTATTCAGATTTTTATATACATTTTTTTGTACTTATTTATCAAATATTGAAAATAGTTGTGAGTCGAGAATCATTTTTTACCATTATGTCACTTTGAAGTTAGCGTACAGTAATTTCGTTTGTTATCATTTTATCCTTTTCCATACCAACCTTGGGCCTTTTAGACTACAACTCTTAAAGTTTTAAAATAGTTGACATATTTTGTCTGTATCGTTTTAAATTTTACAATTATTTTTTATACAATTTTTTTAAAACATTTTTTTATAGCTATCCAAGAAAATGTAGTACCTTTTTTTGCAATATATTTTTCGTATCAGTTTGCTTTATTACTCACCGTGACTACTTATGTACATACGTACCATTCGAAAATGGGAATATTTCTAAACATGCATACAGTATTAGTTCCAAATACAATTATTAAATTAAGAATGTATAGGTTGGTTCTATTAGAGTTTATGCGTGTATAACAAATAACCTAAAGTACCTAAAATAAAACGTGATTAGGTTAGGTATTATAAATGCGAAATTGAATTTATACTGATACCTAATCTTTTTGTTTAAATTTAGGTACACAAGATACGCCAAATCCACCGGGTAAGTAACAAATATAAATTAACAAAACGATATACATTTTCCTTATATTTTAATATATGTTTTTTCGTATAAAGCATAATTCCTACTTAAACCTATTTAGTTATTTTTCTTCTACAAATTGTTAAGCCAATTTGGCTAACATTAAATTTATTTGTACAATTTGTTGTATTAGTTCCCTATAATGTGGATGGACCGCCGCCACCGGACGCAAATGGTCAGTATATACAATAGAGGTAGTAGCTACCATTGTGATATTATTGTATTTCTTGTTGAATTAGATGGCGCTGAAGTAGATGGGCAGCAACCGATAGACACAGCTGGTCAGTAAAGTCTATATAGTTAGTAGTATATCTAATGTAGAAATCAAAATATCATTACTTAACCTGATAGCTGTATAGGCATTGGGGCTCTATTATAATGGTTCATAAGCACAACGTTTCTGTTCGAAAACGTTATATTCATCTTTAAAATAAGATTTAACGCTAAATTTAGAAATGTACTATGACCGTTTGTTGCATAGGTGATAGTAGATTTATAACGCTGAAAAATGTATTCCAGTTTTATTAAGAATTATTGTCGTTTTATTCGTTTCGAAGTACTGTTAAATTTGGAGGCCTCTGACGGATGTCATGGTGGAGTTTTGTACTTATCTTATATATTTGTACATATTAATTATATATTTATGTACAACAATTTTTTCGAACGGTAACGCTACTATGTGATATTTTGATATAAATGTGTACCTAATAAAATTATTGTAACAATAAAGTAGGTGCATGTAACATTCGTCATTATTTCATTTCGGATGTTTATTCTCAGACAATGAATAAACAATTAATATTTTGTTGATTGTGAAATGTACTATCTATTGTGATATGTAAAATGTACCTATAAAGTTATGTTAAAAAATATATTTGATATTAATTTGTTTTTAATGTATTGTTTGTTATATATTAGATGAACTATATGTATTATTCAAAGGTCAGTATAGACTATAAGCGTTAATAATAACACATTACTGTATACATACATTGGTAATAATCGAGGATGGGAGAGAACACGTATTATATCTGTCTGTAGAGAGACAGACTTTACGTTAACAATAGTAGTACGCAAAAAACTAAATAGTAGATAAAAATAAATATATATTTAATCATTATTTATAAACTTTCCACATGGATAAGTTATTGGGCTGGAAGTCAATCGGAAAATCTGATCGTGCGAATGCCGAACGTTATCGGGTATACATATAAAATCATGGATAATGGATTAGAGATAAGATGTTAGAGATACTAGATTAGAAATAATAGATTATAGATGAGATATTAGACGCTGAACGTTACCGAGGAAAAAAAACCATTTTGATGTAGAAATGATTTTTTAAATAACATTTAAAAAAATTGTGATAATTTTTTTCAGATAGAAATTCATTTTTTTACCATTATGTCACTTGAAAGTTAACAAACAGTAATATTGTATTTTTATCAATAGTAAGATCAGAAGGAGAATGTTCGAAAGGGCCGAAAGATGAAAAAGGTCAGTAAAGGCTATAGAGTTAGTAGTGACCAACTTGATACAAGTACATATACAAATATCAGCAGTTAAATTCATACATACATTTGTGTATAAATTGTTTTCTTTATACTACGGGACTTTAAGTCTGACTGTTAGGTTAAAACGACGATAAGATCATTTAAAAAATAATTATTTTTTATTCGCAGACAATGGAAAAACAATCAACATTTTTTATTTTAAAATGCACTGTATATAAAATGTACTTTAAATGTTAGGTTAGAGAATACATTAGTATTAATTTGTTTTTAATGTATTACACAGAACCGAAATCAAATAATATATTACATTTAGATAATGAAACGATTATCTTTTACGTATATCAATTTGATGTTAGCAAATAGAAATTTTTATTTGTATAATTTGTTGGATTAGATGGAGATAATTCGAATAAACGGAAGAAGAAGACAAGAAATCGTCAGTATAGATATATTGATTATAGAATTAGTAGTAACCTAAATATTCACTAATATAAGACTATATCTTAAATATATTATGGTTATATATTTTAAACATTTCTATTGGTAAAAGTTATTAAATCGAATAACCTTTAAGCAATTAAAAAATATTTTATAATAATAATTACTATGATAAACAATAATAATTATACTATAGTATGAAATACTTAGATTGAGGTTTGTGCAAAATATTATTTTTCAAGTTCAAAATTTGTAACTAAAAGTTAAAAACCCCTAAGCTATAATAGGATTAATGATTTTCTATGTAGTTTGAAATATTTAACTAATGATCAAATTACTTGAATAACCGTTCTTGTAGCCCTCCATAACTGGTGGAAGAATGTTAAGGAAGAAGCGCATTATGCAAGAATATATCTCGGGGGTTGGGGCTACTACCCAGGTAATCTTTAACTAATTTAAAAGAATTAATTGTTCTAATTAAATAAGTATAAGTAATAATTAGGTTTGTGAATTGCTTATGTAAGTATTTATAGTTAAATTAAAGTAGCTATACTTAACAAATAAATAAAACATTTTCAGGCACTTATGTTCCTAGACAATAATTGTTTCTAATGGTAATGGTACATACAGATCTCAATATTGGTAATATAACCTGAGGTAAATATTTATATATTATACATTATTGAATTTAGTGTATTTTGACGTGATTATAAACACAAAAGCCAGCATATATATATATATATATATATATATATATAATAATATAATTGTACATTATATTTTACTTTATTGCAGAATGGATCCA